AGGTGTGAAGGTCGGTTTGAAAATGGCTATATTTGTTCTATCTGCGACTTCAAGTTGGATTTTCGTTGTGCCAAAGGACCTGCCCCACTTCTTACTCTTGAGAAAACCAATCTGCACGAGCATCCACTTGAATTCTTCGTGGGATGGCACTCTTGGAAGGGAAAGAGAGAGTGCAAAGCGTGCGACGGTGCAGGTTTCCACGGTTATCGATGGTACGGATGTTGCCAATGTGAATCACTCTTCCATGGGGAATGTGCCGATTTTTTTCCAGAAGCAAAACACATCTCTCACCCCCAACACACACTCAAGCACATTACATCTGAAGAAGCACCCGATTACGCCGACAAGAAGTGCCTTCTTTGCGAGGAGAAGTTTGATCAACGACATCCCAAAATTCACCACTGTGATGTTTGTAATTTCAGCATATGTCGAGAATGTATGAAAAATGCACCACCGGTTTGTGTTGAAAGCCTGACGACCCATGAACATCAGTTGCATCTCGTTCCGAGACGCATTGATTTCACTTGCAATGCTTGTGGGACGTTAGGTGACCGAAGTCCTTATTTCTGTCTTCAATGCAATTTCATGATTCATCGTAAGTGTATCGATTTACCCCGAGTCATAAACATCAACCGCCACGATCATCGCATCTCTTACACCCGCCGCCTTGGACATGGAGAGTGGAAATGCAAAGTCTGCCGCAAAAAAGTAGATGGGTTCTATGGGGCTTATACTTGCATCAAATGTCCTAATTTTGTTGTTCATTCACTATGCGCAACAAGAAAAGATGTGTGGGACATGATAGAGCTAGAAGGAATGCCCGAAGAAGAGGAAATTGCACCATACGAGATGATTGATGCTAACACGATCAAACATTTCAGCCATGATCATAACTTACAAATCAACAAGGATGGCGATGGTCGAATTCAACCTGAAAATATGATTTGTGAAGCATGTGTTTTCCAGATTTTGTCAGAACCGTTCTACAGTTGCAACCAGTGTAATTTTATTCTCCACGAAAAATGTGCAAATCATCCACGGAAGAAACGCCATGTGCGCAACAACAAGCCATTCACACTATTCACAGATTCTCGCAACAAAGTTGAGGCTTCGTGTGATCTTTGTAAACAACACTTCACTAGTTTCAGATACGAAGCAGGCCCTTATGTTACTATAGATGTACGATGCGCTGCAATTTTAGATACACTTGAGCACGGAAGCCATCAACATCCTTTATATTACTACTCTACATTTGACTGGAAGCCATGTAGTCAATGCGGGAAGGAGGGAGCCTTTTTATTTCGTTGTGATGAGTGTGACTATATTTTGGATGGAAACTGTGCTCTTTTTCCAAAAAAGGTAATGAGAAATAGGTACGATGATCATCTTCTCTCTTTGTCTTTCGGTGACAAGAATGTGAGTGGTGACTATTGGTGTGAAGCATGTGAAACAAAAGTAAACCCAAAGGAATGGTTCTATACTTGCAATGATTGTGGAACCACATTACATATATCTTGTGTTGTGGGAGATTTCTCATATATCATGCCAGGTTCTCATATAACAACATGGAGAGCTGAAGTGGTATCCAACACCTCTATTTGTAGACCAATTTGCTATATGTGTAACTCTCGATGCAAGCTTCCTTCTGTTCTTAAGCTTTCTGAGACCGAAGTTGATGTATACCTTTGCTCTTTCAAATGTGCATATTTTATTAACACATAAAATTATGTATCATTGTTCTAGTTAATGTTAAATTATTTTGTATACATTGAAGAGTTATTTAATATCAAACAGTGTGAGACAACCGGAATACATGTGGCCCTACGCTGGCTGCAATGTAAGAAATCATTTCCCAAGATCAATTGAATTTTCTAACAAGTGAATAAAGGATGAGAATTTAGTCTTGATTTTCCAATCTTAAGACAACCAATGAACCCAAGAGAAGACATAATAAGCTATGGTTTTTATTTTTTAGAGATCTCGACTACGCCTGTACATCTTCTTAAATAAAATATTTTATATGATTATTTCCTTAATGTCATTCAAACCGGCGACATCTAGGTTTTGCCTAGAAATTTTTATCAATTGAGTTATTGACATTTAGTAAGAAACTATTTAAGAGCTCAGAGTGAAATTTATTATCAAGTCACACTTATTAGCTCTCAATAATCAAAACCTACTGTTATGCTTGGATTTTGTGGTTCATATGGAAAGATATGAATAAAAAGGTTTTCAAGGGATTACAATCTGAACCCATAGATATTTTTAATCACGCTTTGAGTGAAAAATTAATGTGGAAAGAACCTCAGTTGGAACCGATCGAAACTAGCACTATTACGGAAACTTTGGAAAGCCTAGTTCAATCTATAAGCTAAGATGTCGAATTGATGGCTCTTGGAAATCTTCGTATCCAACTATGGGTATAGGATGGTGGTGTTTTCAAGAAATTGATCAAACGATACTACTCGGTGCAAAGTGCCTTCGGAGGTGTCCCTCCCTCATTCAATTAGAGATGGAAGCTTTAATTTGGGTTATGAAGAATATCCTTTCAAGAAAGATCGATTGTCAAGCGTTTGAAACATATTGTTCAGAGTTAGTCTCGATGGTACAGTCACCTGAAGAATGACCCGCTTTCTCCAATCTGCTAGATGATTTTGGATTACTCAGTGTCTCTTTTCCCTTCTTCTCGCTTTCTCTTATTTCTCGTTTATGTAATGTTAAAGCGGACTGTTTAACCCGTTTTTCTAGACTTTTATTTTCTAAAGTTACTTTTGTAAATTCTTCTCCTTCTAATTGGACAACCAATCAAGGAGTTATTTTTTAATTAATGTGTGGTTGACAAAAAAATTTCAATTAAACAAAAACTTGTAAGAATCAGAATAATTTCGGCTCCAGATACAAAATGTAACACCCGTCCCACTTTATAGGCCAAGAAACGTGTTATTCATTTGGTCCCGCCAAAACGCTTCATTCTTTAAACATTAAAAACTTGTTCCACTTCTCATAAATTTTATTAACCTGAGGGAAAAGATAAAAAGGGTGAACAAAATGACGAAATTCTAATCACACTCAACAAGCAGTGCATAATATAGAATCAGACTCCACATTCTCAAACATATGTCTAACAACATAACATTTTCATACTATATCCAACCATATACAAAATAATCAATAACGCTAAACCGAAATCCCATCGGCTTCACATGACACGAAACCAATCCCCGGTTCGTCCAATCGCTAGGAACGAAACCAATCCCAGGTTTGCCCAATTACCAGGTACGAAAATAATCTCAGGTTCGCCCATCACGAGCCACGAAACTAATCTTAGGTTCGCGCCCCCATCACATCAATTCATTTCATATTATCACACATCAATCATCATGAATCTTATCATCATATCATAGCAAACAATATAAAACAATAGACATATATCCAATCACATAGTTTCCAAGCCGATACAAGAAATTCATGAAGAACATGCTTCGAAAATAACCATTGTGTTTCCATAGTTACCACCCTCACTTTAGCCTTAACTTGTCGGAGACGCTACGGTTTGAATGTGGGTTTCAAGTTTGGTTCCCCATCAACCAAAACATAGATACATGCCTCATAAATACTCATGCAGAGCTTCAGCTCATCCAAACTCATTTGACAATCAAACAATAGAATTTGACATCATTTACTTTATAACGAATTGTCTCGAAAACACATGAATAAAACAATAACTAACCGTTAAAAACGGAATCCCACCGTTGAATCCATAGCTTGTAGTGCCGTGAAGAACTCCACAAAGTTTCGGACAGATCAGACAACATTTCAACCTCCTATCGTTGTCTCAAAGAAGCCATCTCGGATATGTTTCTAGGGCTTCTGGGTTTGACAGATTCTACAGTTACTTGTCCAGAAAGCAACAGCCATAACTTTTTGGATGTAACTCCTATTCAATATCCGTCAGTTGCTATGGATTCCTGGGTTGGTAATGAACACATCAGTACCTATACCTTGCAGAAACGACGTCAGATGCGGTGTCGATTAGCCTCCAAAGTTGCCTCCTCCACACTACTTTTATTTCCTTCTTTCTCTTTCTTACTCTTCTCTCCCCCACCTTTGTTCACTCCGGCTTTGCTCCTCCACCACTGTCGAGGCTTGCCACTGCCACGACATGACTATTCAGACCTGCCAATGATTTCCACCATCTCCGTTTCGTCTCGTTCTCTCTCCTCACCTCACGGCTCTCTCTCTTCTCCTCCCTTTCTCTCCCTTTTCCAATGATACACACACAACCACAACACAACTAAGGTGGCTCTAGGACTCAGGTTTCTTCTCCTCTTCATGAGTCCGCAGTAACAAAAACTCAACACAACACAACGGCTTGTACTAACGTATGTCACGACGGAGACAATATTGACGACGGCGCAACATCTGTGATCTCATATTACTAAGGATTAGGGTTTGCTTGCTCAAACATTTTTTCTCTGTTTTCTTACGGCGAGAGAAATATATACATAGATATATATGTGCACCATCTCAAACGTCAAAACCCTTACCGTTTTAACAATAGAGATGTTGGACTTTAATGGGTTTTGTCTTCTTTATACAAAACAAAATGGCTCAACTACTAATCATAAAATTGGAGATGTTACAAAATAGGACTGTGCTTCGATATAGTTCCAGACCTTTACAATTCACTTAGAAGTACGTGCGGGTAGGGTAGTAGGGAAAAAGCCCGGTACACGGCCCGTGTTCAACACCATTAGTTGATGAAAATTGTTTTTATGGATGATGGTTGATGGTTCTTGTGGAATGTGGACGATGGATAATTACTTGTCTTTTTTTCTTAATTTAAATTTAGTTCAGAGTTTAATCAAATAAATCAAATAAGTAAAACCCAATCCGCAAAATCTCACCAGTGAACTTAACGACAAAATTGCATATAAATTTTTTTTTAAAAAAAAAGAAGATAAGAGAGATCCAAAGAGATAAGAATAAACATTAAAGTTACTTTAAAATTAAAACCCATCTCTCGGTTTGGGAATGACGATTGACTTTAAATTTTCTTTAGTCATCTTCTGTCAATTTCGTTTCGATCATTACACACAAAAAAAAAATAAGTATGGAACTTCAAGTCCTTCTTCTTCGTCCAATCTTCTTCTTCTTCCTTTTGACAAGTTTACAACAATCTTCTTCTGCTCGGATTCTTACAATCTCTAAGCCTGATAGACATGACTACGCCGCAAGTGCTCGTTGGCTTGTCTCTCAGAATTCTTGGGGTGTTCTTAGGTATCTCAATCTCGTCTCTTTCTTCTACTTATCTTGCTTCTCAAGTTTAGATGATAGATTTTGTCTCTCTCTCAATTATTAGGAGCTTTTTAGAGCTGTTTTTAGCAGATTGAATCCAATCATTGATAAAAGATTGAATCTTTTTGAATTTGAAATTGATTATGGATATATCTTACATAAAGTTTGTAGCTTTTTAGAAGATTGAATCCTATCATTGATGATCTTTGTTGGGTTCTTGTGATTTGCTATGGATTTGCTTCATCATGCTTTTGATACTATTAAAATTGACTTTGGGATTTGACAAAAAGCCAAATTTACTTTGTCAAGTTTGATTCTTTTGAAATTTAAATTGATTTGGGAGTTCAGAGTTGATACAAGGAGAATCATTTTTGATCACTCTGTAGACTGTTGTTACCAGAGATCTTATTAGTGAAAGAGATTGTTGCAATGTTGTTATCATCAAGGTAATGTGAATGTAACAATGGTGGATTACTAATTCTTTTTCGGTGCTTGTATTCTTCTTGCAGCACACTATCCGTTGATCATGAAGGCGCTCCCTTCGGGTAATCTTGTTTTCCACGAATCATATCACAATGTATTTTTATGGTCTTTGTGATTTTACATTTCAAATTGCAGAAATCGATGTGCTCTTTGTTATAATCATCGGTTAGGCTTGACATTATTGAGATCTTGGTCTCTCTTTGCAGGAATGTTGTATCGTTTAGTGATGGTTTACCGGAGAAAGGCAGCGGTATACCTTACTTTTACTTAACAACTCTTGATCCAACTGCAAGAAACGCACTAAAAGACCAGAGAGCTTCACTCGCTATTAGTGAATCTCCCGTTGGAACTTGTAAGAGAGATCCAATGAATCCTACTTGCTCTAAACTAACCCTTACCGGAAAGGTACATGATTGCAAAAACCCGAGTTTTTCTTATCAACATGACAAAGAAACTGTCTGTAAAATGCTTTGGTCTTTATCTTATAATGTTTCAGTTACTGATATTGGATGAAGGATCTGAGGAAGCAGAAGTAGCCAAAAAAGCTTTATTCACAAAGCATCCAGAGATGATAGGTGATTAAATGTTTCTCTCATCTATAAGATACAGATTCATGATAAATTGTATTATTATGTGACGGTTATATCGGTTTTTGTTTAGCAGATTGGCCGGAGGATCATGATTTCCGCTTCTTTAAACTCGAGATCATCGATATATTTCTGATCAATTGGTATGGTGGAGCTAAACCTATCACTGTAGATGAATACCTTCATGCCAAGTCGTAAGTAAAATGCGTAAACCCTTTATAAACATCGGTAATCTCTGAGAAACCGAACAATCAAAAATTTCGAAGCTTACGCTAGTTTGCATTTGATCTCTTAAATCTTTTTAATTGTTTTCAGGATCAAAGTCGTTTCCTTTTTATAATAACTCACCGGAATCAAGCAAATGGTGAAGCAAGAAAATGTATATTGGATACACAATAAAATGTGTGTAACTGTTTCCAGTGGCGGATCTAGGAAATAATTTTACCCGTGGCAATAATATTAACCTTAAAAAAAATCGTTTCTTACAAACCCCATAAAAAATACGAACAAAAAAATAATACTTTACGAAAGTAACCCACGATCACTCATAAATCGAAATCTTCTTATCACTTTTCACATTAGTGACAGATCCAAATAAATCTTTGTCAACATAACATACGAAGCAATCACTTAAAATTGGTTTCCAATTCAGCTCTTTCTAAGCCAAGACACTAAATCCAATTATAATGATCATCATGGTTGTCTTGGATTTTTAATTATATATGTTTATAAATTGTAAATTTGTAAGACAAATCATTTTTGGTTTACTTCTAAACATAAACCGAATTCTCAGAGATTTGATATACAAAAATACACAAAACATTGTTCTAAACTTAAAAGTAAAAAAAAAGAGAGATTGAAGTAAGAGAAAATAATAAAAATAAAGTTAGAAACGTGTGTATAGAAGAAAATAAAGTTTTGGGGGCATTAAGTAATATATTAACAGGGGCAAAATTAAAAAGTGTTACAAAATAACATTAGTTTTTGAAAAATTGAAGGTGGCAACTGCCCCTCTATAATGTCATGTGGCTCCGCCCCTGACTGTTTCTGTAAATGACTCTTTGTTTTGAAATCTCCTGTAAATTACCACAAAGCAATTTCAAGATATCAATGGATAAAACTTTTTGCAGAGTGTACATTTATATAATTTGTTATTTAAACCAAAAGGAACCGAAATTCATATGATCAAATATGACATCAAATAAATTGACTCAAACCGGAAATTATGCAATTGAACCAAACAAAATTCATCAACTCCAATTGAAACCAAAATCGGTTTTCATTTTTTCAACTACATCAATAAACCAAAAAAGAAAAGAAAAATTCATTAATTAAATTCTCTTATCTAAATCGAATTGAACCGAAACTTTCAAAAAAGAATTGAATCCAACATTTTAAAAAAAAATGAAACTAGAAATTTATGCAATTGAACCAAGTTGGAGTCAAAACTCAAACCAAATCAGAAATTTAATGCAATCGAACCAAACTAATACCATCAACTCGAACCGAACCAAATTCAGCTTTTTCATCAAAAATCAAATAAACTAAATTCATCAAAAATTTATAATTCTAATCAAATTTATCTAAACCGAATTTAACCGAATCTTAAATCCACAATATAAAAAAAACTTAATTAAACTGTTAACCGACTTCGGTTCTTTCCGGTTTGAAGATAAGCTTTATCATTTCTTTGAGTCTCTCTCTCTGTGAGTGGCGAGCATTGGTTTCTGGAAATTGAACTCAACAAAATATCTGAAAAATTCGATCTAAAAGCTAATACAAATCCAAATTCAAGAGGAGAAGAAAAATCTCACGTCATCGAAACTTTCTTCTATCATCAAATACAAATACCAAAAAAACTCCATGAATCTTCAAGCTGTTTCTTGTAGTTTCGGATTCGTTTCGAGTCCACTTGGTGTCACTCCCAGAACTTCCTTTCGTCGCTTCGTAATCCGAGCCAAAAGTAAAATTTTCAATCCCTAGATCTTTGAAGTGATTGTGATTGGGTTTTGGATTCATCTTGAGTCTTGTTCTTGTTTTTGCAGCGGAACCTTCGGAGAAATCAGTAGAGATTATGAGGAAATTCTCTGAGCAATATGCTCGTCGCTCTGGGACTTACTTCTGTGTTGATAAAGGAGTTACTTCAGTCGTTATTAAGGTATATCAATTAATGGGTTTTTGAATTTGTAGCTTAGTGTTGATAAAGATTGAGTCTTTTACTTATAGAAATTGAGTCTGAAGAAGAAATTGAGTTCTTGAGATTGAGTCTTTTTTGTGAGTAGGGTTTGGCTGAGCATAAAGATTCGTATGGTGCACCGCTTTGTCCTTGCAGGTGATCTTTGCTTCTTCTGGGCAATTGTTATTTTAAGTACTTTTGAAATGGTTGTACTGAAACAATGCTATGGATTCGTAAAGTTTGATCCTTTGTTGTTGATGCAGACACTATGATGATAAAGCTGCTGAGGTTGGACAAGGGTTTTGGAATTGTCCGTGTGTTCCAATGAGAGAGAGGTAAGAACTATCTCCATGTGGCTGCATAAACATTGTGGTTGCTATATAGTTAGAACTTAGAACTAAGAATATAAAGTTCAACTTCGTTGTGGTTATTAGTTGGATAGTATTCATAGAGGTAGCCGATGCTCCGTATTGGTTGTATTAAGATTGATGCAGAGAATGTATTCACAGATTGCCAGGCAAGTGGAATTTGAATTAACCATAGTTAGAAACAACTGCTTGAAAAAAAAAACTTAAGCTCTCCTGTAAACTCTTGGCCTATGTGGCTCTTTTGACCAAATTCTGGCACACAGCAAAGTTAAGATCCTTAGTGTTGTAATAGGACTTAGTTTAGGTAATAGAGTTTGATCAAGGTCCTTTTTGGAAACACTGGTTATATGTTATCAGCTATGGAATGCCTTCAACTTTGTTGTGCTTCGGATAATATATAGTAGCATACGCATGTTTTACTTTCCGTAGAGGTTACCAATGCTCCTAGTTGTATCAAGAGATTGATGCAGAGGATATATGCGTAGATTGCCAGGCAAATGGAAGTTGATTTACTCCATAGTTAGCAACAACTGCTAAACCAAAAAACTTAAGCTCTCTTGTAAACTCTTGGCCTATGTGGCTCTTTTGACCAAACTCTGGCACATAGCAAAGTTAAGATCCGTAGTGTTGTAATAGGACTTATTTTTTAGGTAATAGAGTTCGATCAATTTTGCATCTGGTGACGGTTTATTCTGATAATAATACTTGTGTTTTACACCTTGTACTAAAGTTTTATCATTTGTTCATCAGGAAGGAGTGCCATTGTATGCTTTTCTTAACTCCTGATAATGATTTCGCTGGAAAGGATCAGGTAAATCCCAAATCAAAAAAAGACTTATCTGTTTCTGAATTCTGATATGTTCCCTAATTACAAGCTTGAGGTTCTGTTAACATTTTAAGCATACGATTAATGGTTTGAACTTTGAAGCAACTTATTAGTACTGGGTTCCTATGGTATAAGGATGTCTAATACTTTTTCTTCTTTGTTTCTTGCAGACGATTACATCGGATGAAATAAAAGAAACCACAGCTAACATGTGAGAGAACTGGTTCTTCGATGTTCATCGCTTCTGTTCGTTAGGTCAAAAGAGTAATATGTCTCGCCCCAAATGCAGTCTTGTACATTGATACCTGAGCATCTTCTTCGTTCTTCTGTACAACTCTTTCACTCTTAAGAAAATATACTTTAGTATGATCTTTTGTTTGCAAAACGATTATAAGCTATATAAAAGGATCCAACTTTACACGAAATCTTCAATAAGTGTATGTATTTGCTAAAAGGAGCTAAATGTTTCGCTTCCTTAACTTAAGGAGAGATTGATAATCCTAAGAAAGTGTTGACTAGTCTCATGGCCCTAAATAAGCACCAACAGCACGACCAATTTTCATGTCTTCATGAGATGCAAGAAGCAAACCAAACTAAAATAGGAGTAACCATCAAAGATTCTTCATGGCCGTACCGGATCAATTGATTGCCAAAAAGGGACTATCCTACGGATTATTTGGTGAGACAAGAAGAAAGGTGCGAACCGGGAAAAGTTTTTCAGGCGTTGATGGCATCTGATTCTTTAGACCTTATGATCTTGGCTTGTAGTTTCTTCATAAAAGCTGGATTGGCTTGGAGTCTCTGTTCTACATATGAAGTCTCTGCATAAATTTTAACTATTTTCATCTTCTTTCTTCTTACCTTGGTGAGTAGTTAATTGTATGATGTGGTCGTCGACAGTTAATTGAACCAAGGTGAAAAGAATCAATGAAATCGTATATGTTATATGATGAATGAGCAGAGTAGTCTCTGGGTGCATGCTAAGACGTGTCTGGCTTTCACTTACGAAGGTTTAAGATCTTTTGAAACACTTTGGTACTCTACTAAAACAGTTTTTCGTTAGGTCCAAATTTTTTTAACACTATATACTTTTGGTACTCTGCTAAAAAAACACATAGGAGCCGTGAGTGGCAGCCTCCTCCTCATATTTTGAATGCCCGCCTCCCTCAACAGTCTGATTAGTCTTTTTTAATGACGAATCCAAAGAGCTTTCACAAAATTCTAAGCTTTTTTTTAAGACTGTTCCAACTTGGTGAAAATGGTGTCTTCCCTTATAGAATGGCCAGCCTTTTCAGCTTATTTGGAGAAAATTTGGAGTGATAAAGGAGGATTTCTCTACCTTTTCTTTACCCTTAGTATTTCGTAATGCAAATGTCAAAGCGGATAAACTAGCGCGCAATGGTTCATGCCGAGCCGCCGTGGATGGTACAAAATTTACCAACTTCTAGTAAAAAAAAAGAATATACATTTTGGGACTTCAACCACAACAGCCACTACCCTGAGAGATGGTACCATATCTTCCTCCAGCTTCACCTTGAGGACGTGAATATCCAACCTTGATCCCGGGTGACTGTAAGAAATCGAGATCAAATGAATTGTAAATCATATTGGCTGGCTTAGTGTGATATGAACAAAAAGAAAACAACAAAAATAAAGACCTCGTTGGATACATCAAAGACGCCGTTCTCAATCTTTTCGAGTATATTTGCAGCAGTCTTTATGAAAGCCTGTTGGTATATTGGCCATACTAATTAAGCAAAGAAAGATATAATTTGTCAAGATATTTCATAAATATTTTGTAAGGAAGTAACTAATAACCTCCTCTACGTTTTGAGATGTTCTTGCAGACGTTTCCAAAAACAAAAGGCCATGTTGTTTGGCAAACTCCTCTCCTTCCTCTTTACTAATAGCTCTCTTGCGAACAAGATCGCATTTGTTTCCGATAAGAATGATACTCATGTTATGAGTACTGGCATAATGCCGAACATCCTCCAACCAACTCGCCACATGGTTAAACGTCTCTCTCCTACAAGTCATTCATGTAAGATTTGAGTTTCGCTTTATTGATACTATCAATTTGATAGTCATATCATCATTCTAATTTAATAAGATTCCAAAGTGTATATATGACCCACATTTCTCCAAAAGAACAATGACAATATCGTAGCAAGTGAAGTTAAAGAGTTTATTCTTATATCAAGTAACTCCCCTACTACAAGAAAACATGCCAATTTCCAACCGAATTCAAACAAACGATTTATCGGCTTTGGACAGATTTCGTAAAACAGGTATGTATACCAAAATTCCTCAAGACAAACCAATTCAATCAAATAAGCAAGCAAGAAAAGAAAACATAAAAGTATAAGACATTAGACATATTATGTAAATGTGGAGGCTACAATGTATAAAAGAATAATGAATATCATGACAAATTTTGAACCTGCTGATGTCGTAAACCAGTAACGCTCCGGCAGCTCCTCTATAAAATGATCTGGTGATGGATCTAAATGTCTCTTGTCCAGCCTAAAAGAACATAACAGCAACTCTTAACTAATATAATAAAACCTAAGGTTGCTATATATAATCAATAGTATCCAAAACTTATGGAGTAGTTCGACATCGCAAAGAGAAGATAAAGGCAAGAGCGGTATACGTACGGTGTCCCAAATTTGAAGTTTTATAGACCGACCATGGACGGTGACCATTTGATCACCGAACCCGGCACCAATGGTTAGATCGTGGACTGGTTGGAATCTCTTGTCAGTAAATTGTAGAAGCAGGCACGTCTTTCCCACACCTGAACCACGAAATTGGTTAAACCTAGAATATAAAAAACTTAGAGAAGAAGGTGTAATCGACCTGTGTCTCCGATGATTATGTATTTGAACAGATAGTCGTATGACATGGTTGATCAATTGGAATATAGGTCATCGAAGTTTCTATCCTTTATATAATACTTAGAAAATAATTTAGACTTATGGTTTTCTAAATTAATACTATTAATTATTTAAAGAAAATAAAATAGTGAATAATTATTTTCTTATGAAACGATAAATATGTTAAATTTAAGGTGTTTCTTTTTGTGCAAACATACTTAATTTCATTTCATATCCAACAAGTACAAAGTTTAAATAAACATCAACCTCATAGTTGGGTACATCAAAGATAACTACTAGCACTCTTACGAAAGATTGGTAGAGAAAATAGATGCAATAGTTCGACGGAAAATCCATATATCGGAGATAAGAACAAGGTAGTAACTTGCCATAAGCGAAAGAATGGTGAATCGAGAGCAATTCCACGAATACTTAGGAATATTGTTGAATCCGAATAGATAATAAACTCTCCTACCTAAATTATCCGAATCCAAATATATCTGATCCAAATCCGATCAGAAATTTGAATGCCCAAGCCTAGTTTTGGATATTATTTTTGGGTATCCTCTAGGTTTTTGGATATTTCGGTTAACCTTTTGATATCGGTTTGGTTCAGTTTCGATTAGTTTGGAATACTTTGGATAGGAGATTTTACTAACCATTTCGGTTATTTTAAAAATTTCGGTTCGGTAATGATTCTGTTTTTTTCGGTTCGGTTTGGTCGGTTTTTTGGTTAGCGGTTTTTTGCCCAGGCTAACCGGTACTTATATGATATCATTCAATCAAACCAACCAAACTAAAAACAAACGTCAAAACAAACTAAATAGTTCCTAAGAAGAGTAACCTTTTTAAAATTCTTTGTTTCGACTTAATACGAAGGAAGAGCTAAGGGAAAGATTTCTCATCATCATGATCATTAGTATTCACTAAATAGCTTTCAGGTTCATAGTCAGATATGTTAAGTTCTATGGACTTCCAACTTAAAACCAATTGGCAATGAGTGGAGTGGCCCATATCCCTTATATATTACTTAGGATCCCTTCCAACTTCCGATGTGGGACATTATGTCCTAATACGCCCCCTCGAGATGATGGCATTTTGGCCATTAATCTCGGAATATTCGGGCTTAGATCGACGGCATCAATTTTGGGCCTTGTCGATGATTGGACCATCTTTGGGTCGGATCGGGTTGGACATGTGTGGATCGGGCTCTGATACCATGTTAAGTTCTATGGACTTCCAACTTAAAACCAATTGGCAATGAGTGGAGTGGCCCATATCCCTTATATATTACTTAGGATCCCTTCCAACTTCCGATGTGGGACATTATGTCCTAATACGCCCCCTCGAGATGATGGCATTTTGGCCATTAATCTCGGAATATTCGGGCTTAGATCGACGGCATCAATTTTGGGCCTTGTCGATGATTGGACCATCTTTGGGTCGGATCGGGTTGGACATGTGTGGATCGGGCTCTGATACCATGTTAAGTTCTATGGACTTCCAACTTAAAACCAATTGGCAATGAGTGGAGTGGCCCATATCCCTTATATATTACTTAGGATCCCTTCCAACTTCCGATGTGGGACATTATGTCCTAATAAGATAGACTATATGAGAAAAGAAATACATTTCATTGTTGTTCATTTATTCTATTTTGTATATTTAGCAAATCTTCATCATCATGTTGAATAAGAAGAAACAAACTAACAATATAGAAGATGATGAAACAATGTAATCTTGCTCAAAGAGAATAAGAGTAAATGAAAGAAATGATCATTAGGCGGCAAGTCCAACATGTTTTCATCATATCGAGTATCGACGCTTCTCAAAGTCGTTTTTGTTTTTCCTTTTTATTTTTAGATGATGAAACATGTTTTCAACTTGAATAAGAGGAAGTTGCTTGATTTGCACTAAACTCGGAACATAAGTGCACACATGTGACCTAGACCATTTGTTGGCAGGTTGCTCGAGATTCACTTGTCTAAAGTATCCAGCCTCTCCAAAAATGCTAATTTTGTCACCAAAAAGCATGGCAATTTTTTTTTCCTCATCAATGAAAAAACTCTCATTTGTAGATGGAGTTTCAGTTCCCATATCTACTGTCAAGAATTTGCTCCACGACACCTGTTCAGGCTCAATATTAGTTGTAATCCATATATTAAACTTATATGGATTCCAACGGTTGTTTTGTTGTAAAGCCGCAAGCTTCTCTTCTCTAACACAAAACAAAGTCACATAACCATAATACTCAACGCTTAACGGTAGAGGCAGAAGCGGTCCAAATCTCTCTCTTGTAAAATCAAAACAGATTATGTGGTCATGATCAGATATGGTCAATCCGTGGCGTGCGTTTCTTTTAATAGCACTCCAATAAGTGTTTCCCTTAAGAGAAATTCCATGGCTACCAAGCGATATACACCAGTGTGGAGTGACATCAAGAGTCGCCCATAAACCAGACTCGAAATCGTAGATTTCATACCATTCAAACTCAGGTCCATAGAAGTAATCATCTATAAACCTCAATAATTTGTGGCTACGACAAGACTTATTATCTACGTATCCAAGAGCGTAACTGAACCTTTCACATCCGATTAGGTGGTGAGAATATTTGGGTTCGATCCATCTTGTTTGTCCCCAATACAGATTCAAAACCACAAGCCTAGTATCTTTTTTTAATATGCACAAAACTAAACCCTCAAAATGAATGACTTGAGATATCTTTACTTGTTCTGAATCGTTTAACCAAGTAAGTTTACCTTTAGACTCTATATATGGATCTCCACCGGCAATGATGCTAATCAAATAAAGATTGTAATCCATCAACAAGATCATCCGAGACTCCCCTTCCCTTGTTGTTGCTGCTTCTTTACCAATGAGTAGCTTCGCAAAGCTCTTACCTTTAGATAAATTATAAAACGTTTTGCAAGCTAACCGCACTGCTCTCATAGAGTTCCAAGGAAGTCTGGAGAAAATCTCCTCCAATAAAACGCTTGGGAGATTTGTGATCGTCATTGTTTGAAATTGCAACAAAGGATATTTCTCTTTTCTTGAGGTAAAAGCTACATATATACATATAAAAATTGAAGACTCACAAAGGAAACTAGGCCAATTATGGACTTCAAAATCTATTTGGCTTTTTAATATTTAAATTTAAGATCATTAGTTATTTATTTAAAGATCATTAGTTATTTATCTTATAAATGGACTTCTAAATTTAAGATCATTAGTTATTTATCTTAATAACTATGCACTAACATATGAAATTTATTTAAGATCTATTTGGCTTTTTAATATTTATTTAAAATTGAATATATTTAAGATGTAATTTCATATGTTTTGAAAAAAATATTAATGATCTTAAAGAACTCTCACTAATAGAGATAATATTTAAAAACTTTACGGGAGTTTATTGGCTTATAGATTTTAGTAGATTTGGAATCCTTGTAGGATTTAAAAATCCATGTAGAATTTACTGATTTTAAAATAAAATAAAAAGTGGATTTGAAATCAAATGAATGGGATTTAAAAAGTAAACAATTTTGAAATCTCACATATAATTATATGAAACGATTTTAAGTATCGTTGCTTTGTGGATGGATCGTGGAAAGAAAGTGATAAGTTCTCCGGTACAGGATGGTTCTGTACATCATCAAATGGAGAGCCGCCAACCATGGGAGCTGCAAATCTCCGTCGAAGTTTATCTCCATTACATACCGAGTTCGAGGCCCTTCTCTGGGCGATGAAGTGTATGATAGGTGCAGATAATCAAGAGGTAGAGTTCCTTACAGACTGTTCTGATCTGGTTAAGATGGTGTCTTCTCCAACCGAATGGCCGGCGTTTTCAGTGTACTTAGAGGAATTTCAGAGCGATAAGGAAGAATTCTCATCCTTCTCTTTATCTTTAATTTCACGCAATGCTAATGTAAAAGCGGATCATCTGGCACGAAAAATTCGTACAGAACCGCTTCATATCACATTTGTAAACAACATTCCACAGGAATGGCTCTTTTGAGCTCTAATTAATTTCGGATGACAAAAAAAAAAAAAAACGATTTTAAGTAGAAAGATAGTAGTAACAAATAACATATGTTAAAAAAAAAAAATTGGAAAAAAAGTGAGAGAGAAGGAGAGAGGAGTTAAGGAAGATACAATGAACTCTTTTTAAGAACCCTTTCTTAACATTTGTCATTTGATCATGTTTTGTTTTGAAATTAAAATTTAAATATACATAATTAAATTATATAAATATACTAATATCTTAATGCTAAGATATTCATTAGAGGTTCTAAACCAATGTTGATGTTCTAAACTAACATAAAACCAAAGAAGACGTATAGCTCATACGGGAGTGGTCTAGTGGTAGTGAAACAAGGGAAGATTGTAATGAGTTACCTCATGTTTGACTAATCTCGGGGCCATGAGGTTTTCAGATGGTTCTCCCTGATTCCGGGATTAGTCAGATCTCATGCCCGTTGACCCGAGAACCAGCTAGGAAGAAAAGTTTCCACGACATGGTTCAGAGTTTATAGTGTCCGTTGAACCGGATCACCCAAATTATCATTAAAAAAAAGAAGACGCTTACTATTTTTTGGACAAAATTTAATCTTAACCAAAAAAGAAAAAAACCCACCATAATCCTGAAAAGAACCCCAAGCTCTATTGGAAAATTCTCATCTAATACAAACGCATTGTGTTCTCAACATAATCCGGAACAATCCTGATTGAAATATTATTGCTACGTCTTTGTTCTTTTGGAAAATTGCCTTCAAAGTCAACATATCTCGTAGTGTTTCGCTTCGGATCATAATATAAAACAGATAACCTGTCATACGAGAGGTACCCTCACCTGACCAAAACGATCTCACCACCATGAGTAGCATCCAAGATGCGCCATTTTATTGAACCCTCCATCTCATAAAAAAAAAGATCTTGGACCATCCTTGTGTCTCCATGACCCAAATTTCCATGCTCTGGTTGCAACACACAAATCCTAACTTCCCTTGGTAGTTTATCAGATACGAACAGTGATCCATTAGTGTTTTTGGAGCGTCAATATGATAGAATTTCTCAGACCTAACATCAAAACTTATCAATTTATATCGAGAAGTAGTGTCATATATAGTCTCTGCTTGGTAATAGATAGCCCCATTGATGCAAACTGCACCTTTCAATGGAATGTGAGATCCAACGCCTTGGATCTTCCTCCACTGCTTTGCCTTGGGATCTCTCAGTGTGAAAACTTGACAAGAATTCTCCATATAGTATATTGGTATGAACAATACTTCGTATTGATTCTTGAGAGGGTCGTATCCGAAGAAGCAAGTCCCCATATGAATGGATTTCTTTTTTGGTAAGTGAAAGGACTGCCTCGTCGTAGGGTTATATATAGCTCCCTCATGACGAGAGTCTGACCAACAAAATATCAAGCCACGGATGTAATGACTTAATCCTTCTGGGATCAATATTGATTCTATATCAATATTTCGAGGGCGAGTAGACGAGAAGGCTAAGAAACATTCCATGTAGTTGTTTGAAGTGTGACCGAAGATGAAATAGGCATCACGTGGAGGCTGATTCAAAGAACGAGTCACGATCGAGTTTATGAAGTCTATGCGTCTACTTATAATTGATGATCATAGCTTCGAAACGCATAGGAACCTCAAAAGAGATTTCACGGGAAGTTTTTTGAGTATCTCCACCACAAAGAACTCGTCGTGTCGACGATGGTGAGGTCTCGTCTCTCCGTGTCCTCTCTTCATCGCCTTTGTTTTGTTTAAGCGCAGTTTTTGTGCTTTAGGTTGATCTTAATTGAGCTCGAGTGTGAAAAAGCCAAACAAGTAATATTTACCTTACCCTTTGTAGCTCAGAGACCTATACATAAGGTAAACTGCACGAGAAGGAGACAAAGAGAGATTGTGTTTTTACCTGGCCCGTCATTTGTTCTTGCCTTCTTGGTGACTGAATTTTCTCTTGAAGTTTTGTTTTTTTGTTGTTGCTCAAAACATATATGCATGAAGCAAGAAACACGAGAAGAAAGACTAAAAAGAGTTTATTTGTTTACATAACCTTTCATTTTCTCATTGGCCGATAAATCTCTCCTTGAAGTTCTGTTTCTCAGCCTAAAAATGTTAAAAGAAAACTATTCTGTTAGCAAGAATCAGAGTCATCAGGGCACTAATTGTCTAACTGATAACATGGAAGAAAAAATAAAAACAATGAAATTTATGTGAAGAAAGAAACTTACGACGAGAATTGTGCAGAGTCTACTCAAATGCCAATTGGTGTAACCGTGTAAGAGACTAAGCGAAGACAAAGAGATTGAATTACCTTAAGAGGAAGTGCTGAGGGAATAAACACCACAAACTTTCTGCACCAAGAAACAAACTCATGTCATTTCTTTGATGGTTATACATAGTGATGCCACGAGAAAAATGTAATAAAGTTAACACACAATATCCTTTGACAGTTTATGTATAGATTGTGAATACCATTAAACAGCTAAGGCAGAACAAGATAGTTTATTTACCTCAGTCTTCATTTTTAGAAGCAACTGAATTACTTCCTTGAATTTAGTTTTTTTCAGCTTAAGAATCCTATATCCTTTGATACCAAAAAAGAAGAATCATGAATCTTGATCAAAATAATTATGTTACCAGTTAACTATGAGTAAAGACACAATACCATAAGAAAAAGTACAAAATTAACGCCAAGGTACTTACTGAAATCTTACTGAATCTGATACAATTTGACTGCTTGTCCATAGCTGCAAACCAAAACAATTGCTCATCTTCATAGAGTGATTTTGAAAAAGTTTACAAAGTATGATCAAAACCAGTTATTATTGTGCTAATTTTCTCCTTTGCGAAGTATGTATTTATAATCATTTTGTTTAAAGCAAAAGTAAATGAGAAAGTTCACTTTGAAATTCTTGGTTTTTTTCTTGGATTTTGAATCATCACCGAGTTTCCCTTGACATGAACAAGACGAAAAAATTGACAAAGCAAAACATATCTATATTGATTACCTCTTTGTTTTTTGTATGCAGGACATAATTTTCGCTTGTAGTGACTTGAATTTCTCTTTCAGGGTAGCATAAAAAATTACGCAAGTGTTAAGAAAACATAATTAACTTCAATATGACCAACAAAATGATTGATAATTGTAAGAGACTAAAAAAAAAAACACAAATGGAAAAGGAAAGATACTTCACCTGGAATTTGACGTAGCAACAGAATGGCAAAGTTCTTGCCAATAAAGAAAGATATTAATCGTGAAGTTATTGTTTTTTCTTTCTTATGTCTAGTATTGTGTTGTGTTGAATTTTATTTCTTCTGTTTGAAGGTGTTTTAAATTTATTTGCGTGAGTATGTATCGTGTCTGCGTATTATATGTTCATATTTGAATTTTGTTGTCTTTTGGTGTGTTTTGAGTTTAGGTGATTGTGTTTGAGTGTCTTTGTGTTTTGGGTTTCTAGATAGTTTGAGTAACCTAAACAAGCCAAGCCACATAGGCTCATCAAATGCAAATAACCTGTAAGGACGAATGCATGAGAAAATACACATGAGAATGAATAGAGGGAAATATCTACTTTACCTGACCTCTCTCATATACTTTTGGCTACAAAAATCGCCTGGCAAGAACTTTGTTCTTTGTAGAATAAGGATCCATTCTCTGGTATTCAAAGCATATTGTTAGCAAACAGGACGCTAACACGACATACAAACAATAAAAATATGCTAAAAATCTTTCAGAGCCTGACTGGTTTCTCAATTTTGTTATTTAATCTTGACGGATCATGCTGTATAACGAAGAAACCGAATAAAAAACATAACCATTCAAGTTAGAAAAAATATAAACACAATAAGAGAGTACCAAGTTGTGTAAGAGGAGATGGTGAAATTTAGTCACCTTAGCACTGAAGAATGTATTTGGTTGTCTCATTTGCAAAAGACTCTCAAACAACTAGAAGCCGATCCCTGAATTCATTTGTATTGTACCTTGGAAATCGAGATCTAGAAGAGAAATATATGTTTTATTAGTTCTTGCAAGTTATAGATTACTTAAATACGTTAGAAATTTCCAGAAAAACATTGGATCAGTGTGTGTTTATCTACCTGACCCTTCTTCTTTCAGGGAGACTGAATGGTTTTCTTAAACTGGGTTATTTTTCCTCTTAAGAATCCTTTACCTTGGTACAAAACCATTATGCTAGCAGTATACTATATACACAAGACCACAAAAAAAAACTACAAAAAGGGATCAAGACAGTTTATCTACCTGATCCTTCCTTTTTCTGAGGCAATTGAATCACTTTCCTAAGTTTAGTTATTTTCAGCTTAAGAGTCCTCCATCTTGATACAAAATAGCAGTTACTAAATACATATGACTAAAATAAAACCACAAAACTAATGCTAATGAAGAAACTTACTCGAAATCTTATTAAGTATGATCCAAGCCGAGATTCGACTGCGTTGCTCCTGTTGTTTTTGTTAATCTTAGCAAGGAAACAATTTTAACAGCTGAAATATTGAACATTTTGATAATTGTGTATGAAGCAAAAGTAGATGAGAAGAAATCGAGAAACTTCACCTTAAACCTCTTAGTGTTTTTCTTGGATTTTGAATCATCACCTTAAAACTCTTAGTATCCCTTCACAAGAAATCTACGAAACATATCTAAGTAAATATATTGATTACCTCTTTACTTTTGTATGCAGGACACTGTTTTCGCTTGTACTCGCTTGAATCTCACTTTTAGAGCAGCATAAAAAGTAATTAGATTCAATGTGACCAACAATATGATTAATAATTGTAAAAGACTAAGAAAAGAAAGAAAAATGGGAAGAGAAAGATACTTCACCTGAAATTGACTTGGCAACATAATCTCAGAGTTCTTACCAAAAAAAAAAACATATTAATAGTAAGTTATTTATTGTCTTCTTTCTTTCTTTTGTCTAGTTTTGTGGTGTTTTGTATTTTATTTCTTGTGTTATGTTGTGTTTGAGTGTGTTTAGAGTTTTGTTGCGTGTGATGTGATTGTTTTGGTAGTGTTTGAGTTTTGTTGTATTTCGGTGTGTTTTGAATTTGAGTGCATTGTATTTGTGTGTTTTTCGTGTCTGTGAACGTGTGTATGTTCAGATAGTGTGAGTAATCAAAACAAGCTAAGACAGCTCGGCTAATCGAATGAAAATAACCTGTTGAGAGGACCCAGAAACCTATGCATGACAAAATAGATATGAGAATAGAGGGAGAGATATCTGACCTCTCATGCTCCTGGCTACAAAATCACCTTACGAAATTTTTGTTCTCTGGACCTCAAAGATATCTGCATGAAGCAGGAGACACAACCCGTCATTTGCTCTTGCCTACTAAACTGAAATTAATGCCAAGATAAAAAAAAAACTCTGAGAAGAGATGAAGATAGTTTATCTACATGATCCTTTCTTTTTCCGAGGCAACTGAATCACTCTTCTAAGTTTGGTTATTTCCAGCTTAAGGATCCTACATCTTGATACAAAACCATTCTAGTAGCAGCTACTAAGTACATAAGACTGTAAAATTAAACAACAAAAATAATGCTTATGAAGAAACTTACTGGAAATGGTCTTTTGAAGTCTGATCCAAGTCGGGATTCGACTGCTTTGATACACCTGTTGTTTCTGTTAATCTTGACAAGGAAACAATTTCCACATCTATAATATTGAACATGTTTATTAATTATGATAAAAATCAGTTTTTGCGATTGGTTTTGTCCTTTGTGAAGTATGTATTGATAAGAAATTTGTCTAAAGCAATGTAAATGAGAAAAATAAGAGAGATTTCACCTGAAAAGTCACGGAGATTCCCTTCAAATGGAAGCATGGAAGAAACATATCTGATATCTAAATAAATTTCGTATGCAGGACCCCGCTTTTGCTTGAAGTGGCTTTGAATTTCTCTTTTGGAATATCATCAAAGTACGAAACTGCTAACAAAACATACTAAACTTCAATGTGGCCAAGAAAATAATTAATAGTTGTTAGAGACCAAGAAAGGAAAGAAAATGAGAAGAGAAAGATACTTCCCCTGAAATTGACTTAGCAACAGAATCTCAAAGTTCTTAGTTACCAATAAAAAAAAAGATATTAATCGTGAAGTTATTGTTGTTTTCTCTCTTTCTTGTGTCTAGTTTTATGTTGTGCTGTATTTTATTTCTTGTGTTATGTTCTGTTTGCGTGTGTTTAGAGTTTTGTTGCGTGTGATGTGAACTTTTTTTTTTGTGTTGTGTTTTAAGTTTTGTGTATGTTATGTTTGAGTTTTGTTTTAGGTTTGTTTTGAGTTAGTGCATTGTGTTTGTTGTGTCTGTGAACGTGTGTGTTTCTAGATAGTGTGACTGTGTGAGCAACCCAAACAAGCCAAGACACAATAGATGACTCAGAGAATCTATGCATGACACAATAGACATGAGAGAATCGAGGGAGAGATATCTGACCTCTGGACCATGAAGCAGGAGACACCGGTAGGAAGCTTCCACAGTCCGGTACCTTTGAAAACACCATCAATCTCCTGAACCACAAGCACCTGCAAATGGAAATTTGTTCATCAAGGTTCAATCAAATGTATATTTCAAGCTCTGGTTGTATCAAAGAAAGAGTCAGCTATATATAAACATCAAGTAGTGAAAAATACAACAGACTGATACACCAAATAGATAAGCCGGGAGAAATATGAAGTAATAATATATAGTTACCTCTCTGTTCTTGTTTAGTACAAGAGCACCAATCCCAATACGATGAGAAGCATTGGCAGGAATAGTGCTAGGCAAGTCGGAGATCCAAGATGTAAGCATCACATATTCATTCTCGGCATGGTGGTATGTAAACCCTTTCTGAGAAATCACCAAACAGAATCCGATACGATCAATAAAGCTGAACAAGAATCAATCCAAAAACAAAACAAAACATAACATCTTCTTAATTACCTTAATTGCAACGTCAACAAGACTTAAAAGCTCACAAGGCAGTTTTATCCAAATTCCCTTTTTCCCCTGCAAATCCATGTCCACAAAAGTCATGTTCAAGCATCACCAATGATTCAAAGAAGACCATATTAAAGGAACATTGAGAAGGATAAAATCTTTAATACCTGATCCTTCCATGCCTTAAGAGAAACGTCAAGCTTTGCATTAAAATCTTCAGCAGTCACTTCAACACCATCCATATCTATCTTCTTGACTACAAAATCACCTTCGAAATTTTGGATCTCTGGACCATGAAGCAGGAGACACGACCCCTCATTTGCTTTTGCTTACTGAGCCACCTGAAAGTACAACAATAAATGAAACCACAAAACCAATGCCAAGAAAAAAAACTTGGTAAGAGTCTTACAGAGCCAACATCTGACTGCTTACTAATCATTTTTACTGTAAAATCTTGACCCATTGAACAAGTTCGCAATCACCCTAATTGCAAGATCTCAGAACCATCAAACAAATAAATTACAACAGAAATCAAGGAAAGCAAATTCCACATCCAAAACCCTAAATTCCCAAATTAACAAAGAAGAGAGAGAGAGAGAGATCGAAACGTTGCGTACCTTCTTCGATTTGGTAGGACTATCACATGATCCTGATTCAAACCAATAGATAAGTCTTAATCCTCGTAACTATCAATCGTCAGACTTATCATCGACGAAAACTCAAAAACTCTTGGTTCCCGATTTGAATTGACCCAACGAATCGAAGACGCCATTGAAGACGTAATTCAATTGATCGGAGAAAAGAATCAGAAGAAGATAGAAAAACAAAATCGCTTCTCGATGCGATTATGTAAAACCCTAACTCGTTTTTTTCTTCAAAGAGGATTTGAAGAATTGAATTTTGAAATTTCAAGTCTCGCTGACCGTTATTTGTGGGAGGAGAACTGGAGAAGAGTTAACGTTGCGAAATAGAGCAGAGAGTCTGAGAGAGAGGCCACAGCTATTTATTTTTTTTTCGAAACTATCAGCATCTGAATTTACGATTATGACCCTGAATTTACAAAATTTGTTTCTCGCTTTTGAGATTTTTGGTTAGAATCACATACACGCTAGAGTAGTTTAACGTTATGTGAACCACCAATGACCAAACCCACTAAATCCCTTGGAGGGTTATCTCCGGAATGCACTAAATCTCGAACTTGATTCTCTCTCTACAAGATCTCTCTCTCTCTCACTCTCTTACAACAACAAACTCAACAACTAAAGAATGAAGAAGAGACTACGGCTGTCAAGTCTGATGAACAATATTTAGATACACTGATATGCCAATTTTAGGGTTTGGTTTATTTTTGGTGGTTTGGATAGTTTGGATTTAGTAAAGGTATAACTGAAATCCAATCAGAAAAGCCTTCAGTTTGAGAATAAGGTGAGATCCATCTATCTGGTCCAAATTAAAACTACCACACAATCATATATATTAAGAATATTTTTTTCAAATTACAAGAGATTATGTGGTGTTGAATACTTGTGTATCCATGATCGATGGCCATCCGAGAAGATCCTTTATTTGAAACACAACATGTCCACTTTCTTTTGCTTTTTTTTGGCTTCCACCTTCGTTTTGATGAAATAAAATACATAGTGATAAAACTATAAATCCCCTAAGATTTTTCATGATAATGATCTCTCTTGATTTAGTCTTGTTAGAGTGTTCCTCTTGTTCATGAAAATGTTCGCATGTTGGAATATTCGAGACCAAAAACAAAGACCGATCTTATACTGTTTTGATTCCATGTAAGTTAAAATTCCATCTATTATCTGATATATACGAAAAAATTTTGGTTTTGTTGTCAACACGAAAAGGATCTCAATAACTATTATGTAGATTCATGCAGCCTCAACGTCTAATGACCTATTGCCTTACTGATGAGACATAAGAGTAAATCAGTAAAATACTCCAAAAAATTATATCTATATGGATTCAAAATGTCTAACTAACTAATAAAATAATTAGAATGCTTGCAGTAAAGCAGGAAAGTTAAAACAGCTTCACATATGCGATCATCGTGATGTTATTGGCTTGTCAACTGAGAGTGCAATTTAACTTTCCATGACAATTGAAAAATTCTAACTAGAGTGTCAATTCTTTGGGCATGAATATTAGTCATAGACGAATATCTATCAAATGAAAGACTTTTAAGCTGGTGTAAGAACTTTATAAGCCTTAAGGTTGAATTTTGTTTCCCTTTCAAAAACATATAGAGAATGGAGAGAAATTATTTAAGCGTTCGGATGGATGAAGCACCATAAATTCATAAGGAAGAAAAGTAAAGAGCATAAACAGCCCAACACATATCTGGATAGATCATTGGTGGTCTCTGGAATGGATATAGACAATAGTTAATGTATAAGCTAAGTTTTCCAAGTGTAATGACATCATCCAACAACGGTTAAGGCAAAAGCATCAAGAAGATTGTGTAGTAGATAGTTCTCAACATAAAGAATCCATTTCCTCAAACAAAACCAAGAAGGAAGAATTTTTAATAGAGAGTTCTCAACAGGAAGAACTTTATTTCATCTTTCCTTGACAATTCGGTGACAATTTGACAAAAACAGATGGAAATCTTTTAAAAATCTGGCAAAACTTATGATTCCAATGATATTTTGGTGTCTAAATAACGCTCTCTATATGTGTTTAATATTTATAAATGTTAATAACGCTTATGTATATGTTTATATGTATATAAATAATTTTAATCCTCTATGTACATGTTTACATGTATGTCAATGTTAATAAAAATCTATATATAAATTTACATGTATATATAGATCGAATAACTTAACATTATAACTCCTTTTAACGTTCTATATATGTGTTAACATGTATACAAATGTTAAAGACGTGTAATATATGTTTGTAACGTGCTAAAACTTTCTCCAGTTTAAGAAAACAACGGTTTATACTTTATACCAGTCTCTCTGATATTAAATGTCCACTTGCATTAAATATATGTCAGAATTAAATGCTTTGTGTAATACTTCCTTATGTTCACGTGCATGACAAAATCCTAGACTGGTTTTTGTGTAATTTTTTTGAACTTCAGACCCAATTATAATGTAATTTATCCCTTATCCTAGACTATTGTCTTTTAGCAATTCACTACCCTAATTTTATCTCTGAGTTAAAGCACAAAATATGATGATTTTTATGTTCCCACTAAACAAATAAATAATTTCTTATTGAAAAGGGAATAAAGTTTACTAATCCCAAAGAGATTGGGTTTGTATTAAACTTTACACCTAACTAGATCCGAACTCGGAAGTACGTCTAGGGTTTTGTCAACCAACTATTTTATCAATTAAAAATGGGAGAGTTACTCAAAAGGCTTAGTAAAGAGGAAAAATAACTAAAATAGCATGGTTTTGGATGAATAGTATTATCTTTTTTAAAAGGCAAACTTGCCCTCAAAGATGTGTGAGGAGAAAAAAAAATATAACAAAATTGTCATTAGAAGTAATTAGAGTTATTTACAGAAATGCCATGAAAAAGGCGGGAGCTGGGAAAAAGTAAGCGGCGGGAAAAAGGGAGGATAATTTGGAAGTGGCGACAGATTTATGGAGGTGACAGATTTGTATGGTAGTTTTAATAAACAATGACAGAGTTGTCAGATATGTTTGATAAATCTATGTCGAAGACACAGTAGATTGAAGTAGAGTGATAGATTTATGTAGTTTTGGTTGAGTTATTTGGTAGAGATGTATACAGTGGTGACAGAGTAATATGTAAAATTGATTTGTTAGGCAGACTAACATGTAGTTATGACAGAGTAATTTAGGAAATAGATTAGTTAGGTAGAGTTAACAAAGGTTATGATAGAGTTGTTAAGAAAACCAGAGTAATGTGGTAGAGTTAGAAAATAGGAACAAAGTCTGTGACTAGTTAAAGTAGAGTAATTAATTACGATAGATTTATTATATAATCGACAGACTTATCCAACAAATTAATTACTAGCGTGTCACAGTGTGTCAGATAAGTGGTGGAAGACTTGTTGTGTGTGACGATAGAGTTGTGGGATTACGACTGCTTGGTGACAGAGTTAGCGAGACAATGTGGGGGTAGACTTAAAATCGTTAAAACCGCAATCCTGCAAAAAAGTTTTTTTAGATAGTCATGATAGATTTATTTTGATAGAGTTATGTATGATGTTAAATCTGTCACAACGTAAAAATTGGCAATTCCAAAAAAACTCTCCCACTTTACCCGTAATTACAATTTCAATGGACACTCATCTTCTTCGTTGTTTGTAGGTTATACACTTTGTCGGTGGTTCCGAATCTGAGCACATCGACAAAATTTAAACCCACGTTTTCATATAAATATATATCATCTGTTTTCATATAAATATATATCATCTGTTTACTATACAGAACATGATAGTTGATGTGGTCAGGTGGCAGCGTTTGGGTTTTGAAAACTTCAAGAGCCGGGTTCGACACTACACTCTGTAGTTTTTTTTGTTTTTAATTTTTTTTTTGTGTTCTTCGTATTCTTCACCGGTCGACTTCTTCCTCTCACATCTCCGATAACATAAAGGAGAGATATTTGAACTCGGATCTTCTTCATCGGTGAAAGTTAGATTTTCAATTTTTAATACCAAAAATCTCTCCTTTTTTCCAATTGAAGTTTGTTTACCAATATGACTAAAGATGGTTTTTTTTTCATGTTGCAGAGTGATAAATCGTAGGCGATTCGATTGTTATCAGTAGCTTGTTTATCATTAGCTGCAAAAATGGAGAAACGAATTGTTTATCATTAGCTACAAGAACATGATTTCGTTTTCACATCTGATTGTGATTGTTAAAAATAATTTGTTGATTCTATTAGATCTGAGAAGAAGAATTCGTCTTTACTTGTGGGAATCAAGATACGTTTCCAAAATCTAGAGAATCGTTAATTCACAATGCAGATTCCGATTGATTTTGCGTTTTTGTGAAGACGAAGAACAAAAAAAAAAAAAAAAAAACACACACAGTTCTGAGATTCTAACCTGACTCAATGGTTTACAAAAGCACACATGCTACCACCAGGTCACATCGACATTCACGTATACACACATTCACATATTTCATTTGAATCGTAATCATACATATAGATATTATGACAAGTAGAGATAACAATCACATTGTATAGATAGATAAAGACTTATAATTGATCTAGTCGATATATTTGAGAAACCCATTTAAATGAACAATAAACAATTCATCCAAAGCAAATGATCACGAGTACTAAACTTTTTGGTCATCAGAGCTTGACAAGATATATTAGTTATCGTAAATGACTATCCCACTCCATACTTTAATTTTGTGATAAGGATTCAGCAAATTCCTGAAATTCTTACCAGCTGAAGGACCATGGATATAGACATATGTAGATGCTCCCAGTTTGAAAGGTTATCTCCTGTCCAAGTCGCAGCATATCTCTGGCTACCTATGAATCCAGCTCTTGTCAATACAAAAGGTCGCTTATTCTTATCAGCTAGCTCCATCCCTTCATAAGTTGATCTGGCCATCAGCATCCCATAGACCTACACAACAGGAGATCTTGACTATCTTGCAGTGGGCCTGACATCGTACCTCCAAGGTAATAAAGCTGCTAAAGAAATTTTTACAAGCAATAACAGAGAAAATGAGATTAGAGTAGAACAAAAAAGTTACATTGTGGTAGTATGAGTGGTTTTGAACACCTCCAAGGTCGTCATCTCGACGGTGAATATTGTTCTCAGGCATCGTCTTTGTCACGACCTGGACATTGACAAATATGACCATATGAAATTTGGATAAAGATTCTGCCAAGAAAATGATAAAGGGTGAATGCAGAGTAGATAAAAATTACTTTGAAGACAGCTGGCTCATTCATATCATTCCATATACCATCTACACCATTTGAAACAAATTCCTTAACCAAATTAGCCCACCAAGAGCGTGCTTTGGAATTTGTATAGTCAGGGAAAACGCAAGGCCCAGGCCATACTTCACATATTCCTAAGAGAAACATGTCACTTTTAGCGACCCAGCCAAGTTAACAGATGAAATGAAATGTTTGAATGGCACAAAGAAGCTCAATTAAGACGTGTTATATATAAAAGAAAAACTGGGTTACCTCTTGTGCTGAATTCCGGCGAGAGTTCCAGGGAAGAAGATCAAAGAGGAGTGGCTGGACTGGACTGGAGTGAGAAGGAGTGGCTGATACACTCCGGCGAGAGATCCGGCGAAGAGATCCGCTGAAGAGACCTCGTTTCTCTTCTCACTTTTTGTCGAAGAATGTCTATGTATCGACGAAAGAGGTTTAGGTTTTACTTCCTAGCCGCCCAATCCTCAATACTCAAAAACTCAATCAAAACCGGAACTAACCAATCCAAAACCGGTTTAGTTCCCGCACCACCGGCGGTAATTATACTCCCGACGTCACTCAACAACGCAGCTTTAGCCTTAAAACCATCACTCTTAAGCAATTTCCCAATCTTAGGCAACGATTTCCTCAATTGCTCTGATTCCGGATCCGTCGCCGCTTCAACAGACGCCGCTAAACACAACGCCGCTCCGATCTGCAGATTCGAATCACCTTCCTGAATCAAAGCCTCAATCAACGGCTTCGCGACGGAAGCAAACGGCTGCCTCGTAACATGAGAGAGAGCTGGTCTTTTTTTTTACTTAGGATAACATATTTAGGTTTTAGGATTGTTTTCTTATATATTTAAGTTTGTTTTTTTCTAAAAAATTTAATTCAAAATGGCACTAATTGTAAATAAGAAAATGTAATTAGGGTTAAAAGTCTTTTTCAAATTTTTTTAAGCCATTCTAGTAAAGATCATCTTGACTAAGCCTTTAGAATAATTAGTGGACTTTTCTAAGCCATTTGACGTAATTTCCCATTAAAAATTCATGTTATTTAGGTTTTATGTGTTTGTTTGGGAAACAAAATTTGGTATGACTATGTAAAAGTGATTATATTTGAGAAATGGCATGACAGAATAATATGGTATGGTAAACCAATCTAAGTGGTACCTAAAAGATGTATGTGCATAAAGAATGTATTAAACAATAGTTGAGTTTTGGAGGGTTTATATTTGGTAAACAAAAAAAAACGATGTATTTTATTCAATAGATAATAATAGATAATATTAAAAATATGTGATAATCCATCTTAAACATGTGATTTTTTATATGTTTAACTTTAGTATTTCAAATTTAGTATCTTTCTTAGTATAGATTTAAAAATTATAGAGGTCCAAGAATTTATAAATAAATCTATTTATATAATGAGAGAGTTTTCTCTCCTCTTAATGTGTCCATATCAGCATCCATGTCATCATACATTTTCATGTAGGTTCCACATATCTTATGTATTACAACAAAACATTAAAAATAAAATTAATTCAAACACTCTCTATTATTATGTTTCATTAAAGAAAAACAATAATTTATAAAATATATATATATATATATATATATATCTACATATACATTTTTACAGGGTTTTTTTTTCATTAATTCATTTGGATCCGGGTTTTACCCGGGTTTAACTCTATCCGGATCTTGGATAAGGAATTTTAGGAAGTTTGTAATAATTTCAATCCCTTATTTGGCCAATCATAAATCGTAGAATTAATTTTGTTAATATTACCTAAACTAATAGCCACATTAATCATACCGTAATAAATTTTATCTCTAATTGATTTCGAATATTTTCACAATCTAAACTAATTACTATCACATACCTTATCTCATCTATTGTTCCTAAAATCTTGCGTAAATCTCGATTTTAAAGAAACTAATTACTCTATATATATTTTGAAATTATTAGATTTGAATCCTTTCTTTATTTGAACGGTTTATCAAAATTATATTCCTATAATAGATTGTAAAACGTTAATGCAATATTACGAGAATATGAATTTAAAGGAAAATCTTTGATATTAATACTCCTAATAAATAGCCGATTTTAATGGCAAAAATCTTTCATATTAATGTTCTTAATAAATATGCATATTTTAACAATATATATTGATAGAAAAAATGAATATATTGTCTTATATAATAAAAAATATTTAATATATCAAATATAAAAAAAACGTGTATATATATATATCTACATATATACATTTGCAGGAGATTTTGATTTTTAATTCTAATGGGTCGGATTTTTGATCCGGTTTAAGTGTATTTGGATCCTAGATAACTATATTTTTGCACCGAAAATCTTTCAATTGGATCTTCCATTAATTATTTGCCTAAATAACTAACTGAATTTTATACCAATTTTATCGAAATTTTAGGAATATTAATCACTTACTTTTTCAAAAAAACGTTTTTTACTAAATATTTTAGTTCAATATTCTCTACATATTTGAAATTTTAAAATTGCCAAAACCATGAGATACAATCTTTTACAATATTCTATCGTAACTATATTGTTACCATTTGATTTCTTAATCTTACCTTAAACATTTAAATCTATTTTGACGATTTAATAATACAACACTATTAAATCAAAATAATGTCCTTATTTTCTGCAACTATTATACATGCAATCGAGAAAATATAGCAAATTAAAACTGATTACTAAACCTACGCTCCTATTAATGGCATATTCCTTTAACTAAATACCAAATCCTCTAGATTATTCTGTAATTGTGATATTTTTTTAAGATTGTATACTTGCTCAACAAGATTTTTGATGATCACTCACATCTTATTACACTACTATAAATACGTTTCATTTTCAGCAGCTATGAACACCAACTCTGAAAAGCAACTCTGTTATATCACCAACTCTATTATATCACCGTCCTTACAAAGGTACGTTGACTTCAGATTTGTTAATTGCTCTTGCATTTTTTTACCAACACAAGTCTATTGCTTAATTGGCTCATTGCTCAATCGATTTCATGTTTTTTTGTAGGCAAGTCATTGCAAAGGTATATGTGACAACGAAACCTATTATGCGTTTAATATTCCTATCTAAGTAGCATCTTTATTTTACTTTATCAACACTATATCATTCATAGAGGCATATATTTATAACCATTTGAAAAGAAATTTCTCCTACTTACCTTTTTATCCATAGATTGTGTTAACAGATGAGTCTTGCTTAATGAACCCCACGAGCCACGACTTTCAGATTTGAAAATTAAGTGTCACCTATGAAAGAAAACACATGTTAGTTTTCTATATTAAGAAAAGGATAATCAGATATGTTTGGAAGAAGCAAATGATTTCTTATTTTTGTGTAGGTGAACATTAATTAGTCTATACTGCTTTGCGTTTGTACTATCTTCGGTTGTAATTCTCTTAATCCATTGATCTTTTAGGGGTAATCCTAAATGATATGAGAAGTTGATAAAATAATTACTTTGATTAATTTTTAGATGAACTGAAATCTGCATCGAAAGAATACGGAATGGGAGATGATGCAACAATCAAAGAGGTTCTGTAAAAAAATGTCGACTCGGATAATCGTAAGTTAAAATAAAACATATTCTCTCTTTATCTTCTTCTTCTAAGGAAACTAACCTTTGTCCATGATGTTTTGCCTCTCTTTCAAGATGGTAGAATCAACTATGCTGGTGACGGTGACGGGAAAGCCTGCTGCCGGTGATGAAGCGGTTGCCGTCAAAGACGATGAAGAGATCCGCCGATCCTGAAGCTGAGGAAGACCCAGATCCGTCGCTTGGGAAATTCATCGAGCAGGTGTGATGCAGAGACGGCCCTTGCCGGTGATAAGCAGCCTAAACGGCAGTGATGAGTGGTTAACACTTCGGTGATGAAGGGATCAAGCCCCTGAGAGTAGAGATCACCTCTATTTCGCATGTCAATACTCTTATTCAATTCGGACCAGCCTTACTTCGAGAATTGCTGGAACTACCTTTTCCTCCGATTGGAACAGCTTACTCTTTCTCTGGGCACTTGACAACTCGGTACCTACTTCTGTTGGCTTGGCAAATCATCATCTATGAGATCTGGAAACTTACACATTGAGAGCACAATTATGAATCGTATATCAGCTTTTCATCCCGCAATTTTGGCATTCCCGTGTTTGATCTGCTTCTTCTTCGTTCATCATCTCCGAGGGAAGGGAATCCACCGTTACACTTTCCTCTTTATTTTAGGCTACTTTCACTACTGGGTTTCAATCTTTTATTGGGTTCAATTATAAAGGATAACTAGAATGGGCTTTTGTAACAACTACGGCATTCTTGCCTCTTTTAATTTTAATGCAACCAATTTAATAGAAGACAAAAAAAGCTCTCTTCCTTTTATTTGCTAATTAAAAATATAATCGAACAATCGAAACAAAAATATATTAAGAGAATGAAAAGTGGATATGAAAATTTAGGAGTAGTAGCCTTTTGTTTTAAGATTCTCAGGTCAAAAAAAAAGTGAATTATATGTTTTCATTTCTATATTTTAAAAATTGAAACCTAAAACATACTAATCGTAAAATGTATAATATATAGATATCTATATATACATTTAAATAACACAAAACAATAGGTTATATTTATAGATAATCTTCATAAAAATAAATTTCGATTTTTTAAAAAACATATATCTCCGCGGTGTACCGCGGGTTAGTTTCCCATTTCTATTGTAAATACAAAATTTACATATTAAAAAACCTATATATTTATTTCTATTGTAAATGCAAATCGAAAAATCCTATATATTCACTTCATCTTACATTCCAACTTCAATACGTTTTTTGTTTTTCTTTTTAATTATTTTAAAATTATAATTATAATGTGGTATGATATTATTATTAAACACTAAACAAAACAAACAATATTAACAAAACAACTATAACTTAAAATTTAAACTTTTTAGTTAAAAAAATCGACCTCCGCGGTTTAAAATCTAAAGGAGGGAATCCTATACATCAATGCGAAATGAACTATATAATTTTCTATATCTCTATATTTTCAAAATTGAAATTAAAATATACTAATCCTTTAATATATAGATAATATACATATATATATATATATATATATAAATCAGAAAAACGATAGGATTTATGTAAAAGAAAAGCTTTAAAATAAAAATAAAAATTTATATTTAACAAAAATATAGGCCCGCGGTGTACCGCGGGTTAATTTCTAGTATATTTTAAAAACGTAAAATTTAATATATAACAAAAAAATTGAATAGAGATTGGATAAAAATAAAATTAGATAATTCTATCTTAACATATAATGAGTAAATATATTTAATGGTTAGAGATAGGAAAAATAAACTTACCATATATTATTATGGTACAACAATTATTTTTACTAATTACAAATATTTAGTAGACTAGAAAAATAAGAGTTAAACAAAATACCAAAATTAAAGGATTTTACTTAAAATAAAAAGTAATTTATTTCTAAAAAATACACTTCTAAAATTTGACAATATATTTATTAATATTAAAGTATCAATTCATGATACCGATTAAAAGGGAGACTCACACATATGCCCCTTTTTCAATACCCCTTTTCAAAAATGCCCCCTTTGACTGTCCATTTTTAAAAATACCCCTTTTTATGTACAAAATGACTAAATTACCCTTCTTTTAATAAAATATATCACAAATATATAAGGAAATATAACAAAATTAGGTCCACAAAATACAAAATATTTTTTGGCGGGAAAAGTGATCCCGCAATTTTTCCCGCCAAAACACTTGTAAAAACTTATAAAAACCTTTAAAATACCTTGTAAAATTTTCCCGTAAAATTTTTTCCCGCAAAAAAATTTTCCCGCCAAAAATTTTTTTTGCGGGAAAAGTGATTCCGCAATTTTTTTGGCGTTAAATTTTTGGCGGGAAAAATTTACAAGGTATTTTAAAGGTTTTTTACAGGGTATTTATAAGGTTTTACAATGTATTTTAAAAGGTTTTACAACGTATTTATAAGGTATTTATAAGATATTATAAGATTTTACAAGCAATTTTATAAGGTTTTACAAGTTATAAATACCTTATAAAACCTTATAAGTACCTTGTAAAACCTTTTAAAATACATTGTAAAACCTTACAAAACACTTGTAAATACTCTGTAAAACCTTTAAAAAACCTTGTAAATTTTTCCCGCCAAAATTTTCCCGCCAAAAAAATTTCGCCAAAAAAATTGCGGAATCACTTTTCCCGCAAAAAAAATTTTTTGGCGGGAAAAAATTTTACGGAAAAAATTTACAAGGTATTTTAAAGGTTTTTTACAAGTGTTTTGGCGGGAAAATTGCGGGATCACTTTTCCCGCCAAAAAATATTTTGTATTTTGTGGACCTAATTTTGTTTCAAATAAGGGTAAAATGGTCATTAAAAATTAAAAGAGGGCAAACTTAAAAATGGACTCTCAAAGGGGGCATTTTTGAAAAGGGGTATTGAAAAAGGGGCATTTTTAACAATTTCTCTTAAAAATAAGAGGGATTGAGTACATATTATTATTATTTCTAATTATAATATAATATATATATTTCAATTAAAAATTTTCTCTATAACTACTAATATTTTCTAAATTAAAAAGTGGTGGGTTTTAAAAAAAATGAAAACCTAAGAAGAAAAGCTAAATATTATTCAGTGTTTAGGAAACTATCATAGATTGAAAAAAAGTAAAGTGGTTTAAAATTAAAAAAAAAACGTATCCTAAACATCACACATAAAAATAAAATAATCTAATCATTATAAAACTGTAGTGAAAAGTGTCGAGTGAATCATAGAAGCTAACGAGCGAAATTGTAGTGAAAAATGTGAGAAATTTTTTAATACTTTAGAAAGATAATGCACATGAATAAAGTAAAAATTATTAAAATTCAAATGATTAGATTTATACCCAAAGATTCGCATTGATAAAAAATTTAAACTAAAATCCCGCGCAACGCGTGGGTACATAATCTAGTAATTTAATTTGGGACGATTTATTTTTATTTTAATTTTCACAAAATATATTTGGTGGGTCAAATGTTGTGTTAGCCCATATTGTTTACAAAGTTTGTTGTGAGAATTCGACAAATATTTATTCACTGACTATATCAATTTGGTTATTTGTTTGAGGGGTTTTGTAGTTTTGATGCTTAAGAGTATTAGCCACCCACAATGACTTAATAGAATAGAAATTTAATATTACAAAGACACGATAATTGTCTTTCTTATATCCGGATATAGCATAAGTTCAATATAGTAAAAGATATTATATGAAAACAAAATATCCTTTTGCACAGAAATATAAACAAAATATAAAGAAGATATTAATTTGAATTTAGAAACCCAAATTAACAAACGAGATAGTACAATGGATTCTCACACATTCTCTCTTCCAGATTATATCGTGAATGCTTCATTGGATTCATCTTTCACCATCAAATTGTTGAGATAATACGTGCATGGTTTTGTTTTCACTATCATTTCTGAATTGCTTTCCTATATACACGGCCAAATCCACCTACTACAAGTTCGTTCAGATACATTTCTGGTGCTATTCGCAAATACATATTTGTATTCTTATCCTTATGATATACATAATATGGTAGGACAGCTCCTCCACCAACACTTACACTCATAACAGGTGTCTCATCCTGAGATAGTTGACAATCCAGTGACACCAACAATGTCCCCAAGTTTAAATTTTGCATGGAGCTTTGATTTTGTGAACTTTTCAACTCGAGAACACCGACCAAACAACAACCCATTCGCATTCCCGCATAACTGACGCGCTTCCTCGTTAAGTTTCTTCAAAGCTGGTGCTCTTGCTTTACTATTATGAGTATCTGATTAGATTATTATGATTATCATATTCAGAATCTTTTACTTGTTTACAATTGCGAGTGTGTAATGTAAGTTACTTTTATCGTTAGTTGGACTCTATACTTATGAGTACGGATGATAGTACTCTTTTTGTCTTCCGACATAACATGTTAGAGATGTAATTAAATTTTGGTATCATTTTGTTCTTTGAAGTAAACTACTGTACTTAATTTGCATGGGATATCATAAATTTGAATTTAAGAAATTTTGAAATATATATATATAAATGATGATACCACACCGTCAATTTGAAATGTTTGTTTCAAAATGTTTTGTTGATGCTTATGGAACCCAATATTATAGTTATAATATCTAAAACAAAATTTGGATTTGGAATCAAATGCTCAATGAAAATCGTTTTCAATGTTAAGATGTTATAAGTTGAAACTGAAAACCCTGTTGTTTAATTAAGTGATAAAATAATTTTATTTTGTTTCGATTTAAAATTTAACATCATTACATTATATATATTAAAAAAAACAATTTCTTCGATAAAAATAGATAACTTTTTATTTGTTTTGTTGAATAAGTTGGCTTTTCATATGTATTATTTTGGAACCTCAAATTTTTAAAGGTTTTTTTGGATACTTTTGCAATGTCAGATGCTTTTGTTGATACAGTCAGTTCAAGGTTCTTGTGAAAGACATAGATTTTCAGGTTTATCATCAGATGAAAAGAGTGCATGAATGTAGAAAATACCATAATAAGTTTGTCTATATAAACCATAATCGGTTAGACTAGAAGTTCCACGTCAAGATCAAGTAGCACTGCAAAAACTGATATACCTCGTATATCCTTGAGAATGTGTATGAGATTAATTTTGATTGATGCTAAAGGAGAAAATGTAACATACTTGATCATAATTGCGGATAAAGACGGCTCAACAATGATCGCTTCGATGAAAGAAAGAGAATATAAGGTGTTTGTCGCATGTTGACAAGGACGCGATTCAAACACTTATAAACAACAGAACTCGAGCATGGTTCTTTGATCGAATGTACCGCGGACTTGGACCCATTTGACTCCAACAACAAGCAAACTGGTTTTGCCTATATTTTGTCAGTTTAGTTCGTATCTTATTTGATTTGATTTATACTAGTTGATATTGTTTTAACTATTACTTCGTTTTGAATTTGGATTTTAGTCAAATATTGTATTTTTCAATTTTCAGAAAAAAACTACTCTCTCTGTTCTTAAATAAGTGATGTTTTAGGCTTTTGTTTTTGTTCATATATAGATGATGTTTTCAGAAATCTATGTAAAAATTAGCATCAATTTGACTGTTTTGCCCTTATATTATTGAGACAATTTTCAGGCAAAAGCTCTAAACTCAAAGTGTCATACATGCATCCAAGCAATTATCATTTAATACATTCAATAATTACTCCACCATTGTCCATTATAAATCTCCACCACTATCATAAGGTGAATGTAACGATTGATATTTTTTTCTTTAAAAATCATGAATTTTCTTGAGAAAGATATGAAAGAGGAAATGGATGTGAAAAATATTCAACAATTTCATGTTAACAATTTAAAGTTTAAACGGTATCTTTTTTTCCAATTTGGATCTAAATCTGGTTTTTATCATATTAGTTTCACTTTCTTGTTCTTTATTTCCATTTTCCGACATTAACTTAGTTATTCAACATCAAAGACAAAAAGTATCAAAAAAAAAAAAAAAACATCAAAGATTAGCACAATGACGTAAGACCTTTGGACTCAGCCAGAAGCTCTCCTTTTATCAGGAAAAAAAATCGTTAAATCGTTAAGCTCAAATCCGCCATGGAAACAAAAACAATAGTCACCACTTCCTTTAGGGTTTATGCTCTAAAATGTCTCCAATTGACAATTCCTCATCTTGGACACTCGAATCCGACCTAGAAGATCTCGACCTTGACCTCCAAGATTACAAACCATCCGTACCATTAAAGAAAGTACCAAACGGAGACATTTTCGAAGCTTCACGCGCCGGTGACGTCGATAGACTCCGGTACCTTCTTGAAACCGGAGTTAACGTCAACGCACGTGACCGATGGGACTCTGTTGCTCTTTACTACGCTTGTCTCGCTGGTCACATAGACTCTGCTCGATTGCTTTTAGAGAACGGTGCGATTTGTTCTGAACATACTTTTGATGGTGATCGTTGTCATTATGCTTCTCTTAATTTAAGGATTAGGAAGCTTCTTAAGGCTTTTGAAGCTCGTCCTCCTCCTCTTGGTCCTTTGCAAGCTTCTCTTAGAGATACGTTTTTGGGTTGTTGTCATAATCGAGATTATCTGAAACAAGAAGCTTTTGATGCTAATCTTGATGTTTCTGGTATGTTTTCAAGAACTCATCAATTCTCAAATTTTTAAGCTATGGACTTAATTTGGCTTTTACTATTTCACTCACAGTCCAATTTTTATGAAAGTTGAGTTCTTTGAATCTAATTTTGAGGAAATTTGAGTTCTTGAATCGTTCCAATGTGTAGAGATGTTTACTGAGATAATTTGGCTATACCAATTCACTCGCAATCCAATTATTATGAAAGTTAAGTTCTTTGAATACAATTGTTATGAAAGTTGAGTTCTTTGAATTCAGTTTTTAAGAAAGTTGAGTTCTTTGAATCCAATTTTTAAGAAAGTTGAGTTCTTTAAATCCAATTTTTAAGAAAGTTGAATTCTTTGAATCAAATTTTTAAGAAAGTTGAGTTCTTGAATCGTTTCGATGTCTAGAGATGTTTACTGAGATAAGATGGATTTACTATTTCACTCAAAGTTCAATTTTTAGAAAAGTTGAGTTCTTGAATCGTTCTTGTGCTTGTTGCTTTGTGTGTACTCGAGAGGCTTAATGTGTGCATTTTCGATTTTTGTAGATAATCCGAGTGAGTTTGGTAGTTCGAATTACTTCCCACCGGATGTGATGTTCTTTGTGCAAGGTAGACCTATTGAAGCACACAGGGTTATCTTAAGTGCTCGATCTCCGTTTTTCAAGCAAAAGTTTGAGAATGAATGGAAAGACCGGAGAGAAGTTCGGTTTTCGAAAGAGAAGCTTTCGTATCCTGCTCTCTGTAGCCTCATCCACTTTTTTTACTCAGATAGGCTGGAGATATCTGTTGATGATATGGAAGATCTTGTTAGGATTTGCAAAGTTTGTAAATGTGAATCGCTGCAGAAAATCATTGAGAAGGAATTGATTCACCAGAGATATGCTGAGTATAAGACTCATAGAGATCTTGATAACTCCATGAAACGGTTCATCTTACAGGGGATATCTCTTCCAGAAGAAGACAGGCTTCCTGCTTCTTTGCATAGGATTCTTCGAGTTTCCCTTGCGAAATCGTTTACTGGTGATACTATTGATTCATCTGTTGGGGATATGAGAGTTGGTGATTCTGTGGATAGTCTTGCTGATGTTTGTGTTAAAGTTGATAAAAGAACTTTCTATTGCCATCAAGTTATTCTAGCTGCGAGATCAGAGTACTTTAGAGCACGATTATCCCGAGTAAATGATTTCCATGAGGGAAAAAATGGGTTGCTGGGTGATACTCTTCCATATCTCGAAGAACATGATTTGAGCGCAGAGGCTTTCGAGAAGATGATTGAGTACATGTAAGCATTTGTGATTGTAAAAGACCTGAAAAATCTTGTTGAACAAATTTTGTTGGTATGGTAAGCTAACACGATAAGCATTATCAGGTACACTGATGGCTTAAAGGAGATCAATCCGAATCAGGTCAAAATTGTTTGCCATATAGAAATTGTTTCATATATTTCTACCTTCTGATAATTTTCTTACTTTGCAGGCTGAGGAGATCTTTGATGTTGCATCTCGCTACTTGCTGTTTCCGCTTAAACGTGCTGTGGCTGATGCCTTGTTGCCTCACTTGGAATCTGCCACACCTGCAGAAATATGTCATTGGCTGGTTTTGTCAGATATGTATGGTTTTCTTCTTCTCTGAACCCGTTTTCTAATTGATACCTTTGATTCCGGTGGATTTGAGAATGTGGTGCTAAGAACGTTTCTGTTAGTAACACATTAATGGATGATATATGAGCTGACTGGTTTAATTTTGAACTTGAATGGCATAGGTACGGCGTATTGAAGATAAGAGAGTACTGCCTAGACTTGGTTGCTTGTAATTTCGAGGCATTTGTTGAAACCCGCGAGTTCAGGGCAATGCTATTAACATTGCCTCCACCATCAGGAGACTCTTCACTTCGAACCACAGTTCCAAGTGCACCAGGTGCCATGATGACCACGGACCAAGGGAATCTCCTTGATGATCTGAGAGAGAAGTGGCTTGAAGCAGAGGCTTTAGAGCTTGACATGAGAGACGAGAGTGCTTTGATTTTTGATAAGCGCCTTGCAATGCTCGTGGAAATGGCAGAGCAAGAGAAATCCGAATCAGAAGCTGAGGAATACAAAGACACCAGCGCATGATTATTGGTTTTCCTTAAGACAAGTTTTGAGTCTCTTTGCACAGACGATCAAATATGGTGTAGATATTGATAATAAAATTTCAATCTCTTGTTTTAGTACATGCACCATTTGCTTATAAGAAATTTTGAACTTGTTTTACATCTTTATCATTTTAGACATCTGAAGATCCATCGTCTGTCGACAAATTGGAGATCTCTTCTGTCACAGAGCTTACGTCAGTATCATCCGAGACAGTAGACTCGGTGTCTGATTGATGCTGAAGGCTCCAGTTCATGATGCTAGCAGCTAATATAAGCATCATTTTCTGATTTACCTGTTTATCATTTGTTCACATACGAAAAGATTAGCCCGAAAGCGCGAACAAAAACTAAGATTGCACAGTGCATATGAAGCTATTATATCTACCTCTAAAATATCTTCAGGCAACAAGAAGATTGAGCATCCGAGCTTCCTTGCAACACTTATGATGTATGTTGCATTCAAATTCTTTTCCTCTTCTGTTTAAAAATGCCAATTACAAGTCAAAACCTATGATGCTGTTAACAACAAAAGAGACAGCACAAAGTAACAACATAGTATTACCTGTTTCTCCTTTGGATACAAGACTCCAGTTTACAACTCTTGGCTGTACACCACTCAGAAGCTCCAAAAAAAAGATTCCATTTGACAGATTCTTGTCCTATAAAAGTAACCATCAAAATTGTTAGGTTTAATAAAGATGGGTTAGGGTTAGTCTACATGGTTTTGACCCTTTGCTTTACCTTGAAGCTCACGGCTTGAGAGGCTCGACCAGTTTTCTTGACTTTCCGATTTGCCCAGTTCAGAATATCTGCCTCTGTAATATCTCTACCTTGCCAGTGAGATCTCAAGTTGTTCAGGATTTGCAGCATTGTGTATCTCATCAGCTGCCACAAAAAAGCTGCAGAGAAACAAGATTGTCTTCAAAGTTTAACTGAAACTACAATATGAAAACACACTTTTTCTGCAGGAGGGCTCACCGAGAAGGAGCTTCTTGTTTCCTTGCACAATGTCATGGCCAGCTACATTGACAAGCGAGAAGTTCAATTCTTTCCCAATCTTGATAACTTGGTTACAGTTCTCAACCTTCTTGAATGGCATTTTGATGGGAGGTTTATTCGCGTGCTTCCAGTTGACCGAGCCTGGTGATACCTTGTCAAGAACTTCAAGAAGAACCCATCTGGCATATGTAATGATGAGGAGAGTTTAAGATTCTCTATCCATATTAAAACCAATGAAGCAAAGACTGCAATACTCACCCATTTTTAACATCCTCGAAAACATTATCGACATAAGTCACAGCACCAAGACTGTTCATCCAATGGCGAAAGCATCGTTCTTCTCGAGAAGTTTCTTCATCTTCTGTGACCATCTCAGTAACAGAGTCAGGCACCTTTGAACTCTCATCAGATAATCCATTCCTAAAACAGAGTTTTTACATATTAGTTAAGAAAAAAACACTAATAAACTCGCTCTTTATTAGCTTTCATGCTAGTGACCTGTGGTGAAACAGTTGTGCCACAAATGCAAGATTAAGATTTGCAGAGCCTTCAACTATGTCTGTAGGAGAAAGGAATCTTTTACAGTCCAGCTTCTCTGCTTGCTCAAGAACCTTCATCGCTCTTTCTGAAGGGTCTTTGATCTCTAATGTCACATGTGTACTGTGTTCTGGTGCTAGAGCATTGAGCAGGTATGCATATGCCTCTCCATCCTGCCAAACACAAAAGGAATACTAACGAATCGAATACACGAAAAGAAACGAAAAAAGCATAGCAGGGACAAGTAGTACCTTAACATCAGAAGAGAAATTGGTTACTTGTTTCTCATAACCAGCTTTCTTAAGATGAAAATTCATCCATTTTAGCAAAAGTTTTTCAGGAGCTAGTCCCATAAGCTCCTCCACATCCTGCAAAACCATTCAAAAAAAAGATTTAAGTTTAGCTTCAGCCTCAAAGTTTTTAGCAAATGTTCAAAATGTATATACTTTACCTGGTTTTCTTCCACCAACTCAACAAGTTGTGGAGTTTTCTTAAGATTGAGATCAGCCAACAATTGGATCTAAAACATAAACACAAACATTAGTAACCATGTCTCAATATCACTTTAAGTAAAGTAATGTTAAGTGACTACCTTTATAATCTGAAAGATCAACCCAAGTACAAGATGGGGCTACAAAGACAGAGCAGGAAGAAAGAATTAGAAAACATAAGATGAAACTGAAAAACAAAGAATTTAAAATACTTACTGTTCCTTCAGCAATGTCCTGAGTTCCAATGTTGACGACGGTGCAGCCTATCGCCTTAGCAGAGTTGAGACAGAGTGAAAGATTTTCAGTTCTCTCCCATGGATTAAGTTCTTTCTTCGTGTTTATCGCTCTTTCGTCTATCGTCCCAGGCACAGCGACATTTATAAGCTTACTGTGCAACCAAATGGAACAAGAATTAGTTACAAAAAATCAGTCAAACATTCCATAGATTTTGTGGATTTCAAATTAATGTATACCACAAAAGAACACCATCTTTAACAAGATCAAACAAAGCATTTGTAGTAGGATTGATTGGAAGATAGCTCTTCAAGATAGGTTCTTCTTTCAAATAACTATTGATATGGGATACATAGGAAGCTTTCTCGGACTCATTGATGGCGTGATGGAACGTTGTAGTACTTGTCTTGAGAAACGATGAAGCGCCTTTTGATCCTCGGGATTGCACACTTAAAAAGGCCTATCACAAACCATATATAATAAGCACAATTCACGACATGGACCAATCTACTTATTGCCAATTTGTTATGACTTAGAAACAGATGAAACTCAACAATTTTAAAGCATCTAGAGATCAACTCACCCGAAGAAAGGTCTCGAACTCAACTTCCTTAGCGCGATTGGGATAAGACTCATCCAATATAGTTTTGATCTCATTTTCATCAAACTTGCCACTGAAATCTTTCAATTTTGCTAACACTGGTGGTAAATGTTTCACAGTAACACGACCAAATCGAGTTTTTGTCGAATAAAACTACGAAAAAGAACCCAAAAAATCAATTTGTTGAATACTATAAAGTGTGAAGTGATAAATAAAGAGACAGACCTTGGATTTAAGAGTGCGTAACTCCACTTGTGTGAATTGGCTCTGTAGCCATGGATCAGAGACAAGAACACCAACGTAACTAGACATCTCTTGAATCTTTCTCAAATCTTGTTTAGAGAAAAATCGTTTATTTTATATTTCTTTCTACTTAGGATTGAAATAAAACAGAGGCGGGAGGATATTTTTGCTTAGTATTTTTATTTTCTTTTTATAAATGGTTTTTTTTATCTGAAATGGTGACTTAACTGTGGTGACTCTTACACCTGACAATTTTAACTTTTTAAAAGATAAAGAAGTTATTACATTAGTGATTCCAAAGGCTTTTTATAGAAGATTATTTCTGTAAGATTGTAAATATATAAAGATTTAATGATTTAATATATTTTTATCTAAATAATGCATATTTCTATCAATTTCTGTAGATTTTATTAGAACTTGACAAATATTAAAAGTGATTTTCAAAAGTACCTTTTGTAATGTTTTTTCTTTCTTCAAAAATTACAGCAAAAATCCAACATTGCCACAAACTTGTGTTTGATACCCTTCCTAATTATGAACCCTTCTTAAACCACCCAAAAACTCTTCAAACATAATTTTTTTATAATGGTAATTTAGAGAATTTCTCAATATTTAATCATACACGTTATCAAGAAAAAATAGGTTATCATCACATGCAATGCAATGGATAATTTGGTTAAAATTTTTAGATACAAAGTATTTAACTATTTATTTACATGCAATGTGTTGTAGGATATGAAGTACTTATTAGGCATTATTCAATCACCACACGAAACATGAACCTCAAATATATTGAGGTTTTCCGAATATACATTTTCCACATTTATCAATTTCAAAACTCTCAATCAGCATTAAGCGTAAGCATATCCGGTCCAAGTGGGTACGACTGAAGAGTGGCCGGCCTAAAGGCCCATCACGATTTAAAAAAAAAGATCTTATGTACAAGAGTCCATTTTGTAAAAGAAATTTAGAACATAGCCATGAAAATTATCATTTAGTTTCAATCAAAACCTCTTCTTAAGAAATGAAATTAGATCAGAACCCAAACTATTTAATTTCAAGTATTAACAAGGCCTAAAATCTAATGAAATTTTAGTGCATATTTAATAAGGGCCCAAAAAGTTACTATGGAAAGCCGGACAATGGAGGCTGGTCCCGGAAACCGGATGAATTTATGGACCAAAGATCCGGAACTATAAAAGTTTAACACGAAAAAAAAAATAGTGGGGCTGACTTTAGAATTTATAGATTATGTTAATTACGGTATGTAAACGTCCTTTAATCGATCGCAATCAATAGCGAGATGATGAGCCAGAATTTTGATTATGTTAGTGTGAACTTCAACAATTTTTTTTTTTTTTTGAAGTTTAACTTTAACAAAGTTAGGCCAATGAAAAATGCAGAGTTCCATCAAGATTTGGGAGAAGAGGTTCATAGATGGAAATCCAAACTCCACAAGTCAAAAATCATTAATAAATTATTTGTAATGCGCTTTTGCATCATGCGTATTGTTGTAATGCATGTACCACTTTCTTTTGTAATACATGTATGAAGATTTCAGACAAAAAAAATTGATGGGAAATAGATTGGGTCAAAAGAAATGCAAAGCAGCTGTATAAAAATTCTTTTTTTTGTTAGTACAAAAGTCCATTGCAAATTATGTAATTTATAACATTCTTGTAGTTTTAGCTTCCACTAATTTATAACATTAGAACCTAATTTTTAACAAATTATAACGGTAATGATATTAATAAACGATGTTTTGCCCACACCTAATTAGAACGACTGGCCTACATGGTGGGGGATTATAGGCGGCTGTGGAAAGATACGATGCCGTTTAATGATGCATAATTAGCTGTCTTGTCCCAGGAGGAAGTATGGGTTAATGATTAAAAGTGGTGTTTGAGGGTTGGATGATTTTATCTACGTGGTCACCTTCAACAACTTCCACTGAAAAATAGTCTTAGCTTGTCCGGCCAAAAACTACATTATCTATAACAACAAGCTCAAGCTGTGTTCATATATCTTGGACGGTGAGATATAGACATGATAATGTTTATGTCTTCATGGCAATGCATGAATCTTTATACCGGGTCTATATTTGCAGTATCTTAATCCCGACATCAAAGTATTTTCATTTCTTTCTTTTTGGTTAATATAAGAATATAACGTACGTTAGAAAGTAGTAACTCTTTTTCAAAAAGATTGTTGCGATTATAATTTGACAATTAATATCCTGCATTTTTAATTTTTGGTACTGTCATGAAAAAATTATATGATCCTATAATCGACCTTCATTAAAATTATTGGTCAATGAAATTATCAGTGTTCTAAGACTAAAGCTAAGTTAATTGCATTTTGTAGGAAAACTTGTGATAAATTGCATAAACTTATTAGCATATAAAATGCGTTTAATAAAGGAATCATATCAAATCATGACTATATATTATCTCGAGGATTGATTTTCAAAGAAATGTAGTTTCATTGATTTTTTTTTTTTAAAATAGAGATGTTCAAATCACCATAACATAAGTTGTGACCATGAAGTTTTTTCATGGATTCTGTGGTTTATCTGAAAAATTAGACATAAGAAAATCTAATAGAGCGGCTAACGGAAATCACACGATCGACATTATCAACCAAGCCTTAATTAGTGAATATATTTGATCAAAAAAAAAAAAAACATAGTGAATATGTATATATAAGGCTTGAAAGGAAGGTCATATCCTTTTGATACAACCAGCAATGGAAAAGGTAACTTAGGGAAAAACACTAAGAAAGTAAATTGTCAAATAGATGGATATTGGAAGAGTTTAGATCCAACATTAACATGTGGATGGTAATAACGAATAAGGTTTTCGACTTTACGTTCAATTATGAATTTATTTTAACTGAATTCTATTTCTGTGTTGGCTTATTATACCTGAATACACTTTCCTTATAGGTCAATTATATCGTAATATTATATTCAAACAACTATAATATATCTTGAAATTGCTTGTCATTTTTGTCGGTCATGAGAACCAAAATTTCAGATATAAAGAGATGTTCAATCGATATCAATATATCATATCTAACAAATAGAAATCGATATTTAATAAAATAGCAAAACTCATTTTTGATTCACGCTAAACCAATCCAAATTTCATTTATTCTGGATGATTTTATATGTGATTTAATTGTTATAATATGCCTTATTTTTTTATTGTAACATATTTTTTAAATAGATATCTAAAATATCTGAAATGAGTGTCTTAAATAAATTTATTCTTGCATAAAACGGGTTTTTTTTTTTTTGTATACACCGTTTTGGCCAAAAAAAGAATTTCATACACTATTTTTTTTTTACTGGACAAAATTTCATACAATCATTTGTCGGTATATTTTGCTATTTTCTAATAGAAACTTCTGCAATTATCATTTACTTAAGAAAAGTCTTCTATGTTGCTGTTTACCTAATTTAATTTATGTTATATATACACACGCATGTTAAGTTATTTGCATGGATTTGAAATATCACCAATAATCTATAAATAGTGACAAAATAGTCGGTCGTTGCGAATTATTAAACTTCTGTAATTATGGTTTGTTAGATTGTCAGCAGACTAATTGTCAGAATAGTGATTGTCTATTTGGATATGGTGGTGGTTCAGTTTGATGAAGACAAAATATATGGTAAGTTCATTATTTAGTACAGTTTGGTACCACCTATCAAGTATAATGCAATAGCTTTGAACTAAAATTAATTTTAGACAAAGAAAAAAAGCAATGAACTGTATTTTCAAAGAAATTGATAGTGCATAAAGTGATAAGTTGAATAGGTTTGGTTTTGGATCAGTTTTATCTTGGGTTTTCTGAAAAAAACCCCTCAAAATCACCAATTTTTGCAACTTTACCCTCTACCTCCAAAATATGCAGAATAATCTTATGAAGTAAAAAAGAATACGCAATATAACTTTTATACATATATTGCAAACGTTTTCACTGTCACATACATTTTATTTTAAAAATTCTAAAGGTAAAGTTGAACTCCTCGTCTCGAGGGCTTCGATTTGATATTATTTCTCATAATTTTAAAATTTTGATAATAGCGAAAATGGCTATATTGCGTATTATTATCGACTTCATAGGATTATTCTGCATTTTTTGGAGATATAGGGTAAAGTTGCAAAAATTAATGATTTTGAGGGTTTGTGTAACCCTTTTATCTTGGATAATCGGAATTTATTCTGGTTTCAATATCGATATCATGCCAAAATGGGTTTTGTGTAAACCCTCAAAGGGTTTTGTGTAAACCCTCAAGGGGTTTTGTGTTAAAAAAACCCTCAAAGTCGAAAAATGGCACTCATATAAATAAGATGTAAATCAATTTCCGCCGATCAACAGACCCAAATTCTGCCCAACCTATTATACCTATAATTATGAAGACACTGCCATCCAGGGAATGTGGACTCAAAAATAGGCCAGAAGTTATCCTCCTGTATACGAGTTTCAAGAAGTCAAAATAGCTTTGCTAAGCGTATACCATAAGGTTTGTCACGAAAAGGAGTTATAAAGAGTATATCTAAATGAAGCGTATACCATAAGGTTGGTGATGATGAGTCCAAATTAAAGAAGTAGAAAATTGTGTTGAAGGGTGATTACGAAAGCTCACCATACTCCGATTTGCTTTCTAAGTTTCTTCAATATCTATTTTTGTTTAACTTACAATTCACGAGTTATGAGAAATTATTTGTATTTGCTATACATGCGTTTTGCTAAAAGGGATCCTCCATGACATAGCTTTGCTAGCTCTTTCCCTCACTTCGAGCTCTTTTGCTTTTACTCCAAGGGTGACAAATGTTATAGCCGACTCCTTAGCTAAATCAGCCCTTGAGGCATTGTCCATTTCCTCCTATTCAGGAGTGTAAATCTTATTAATTCTTTCAATGTCAAAACTAGTTAAAAATTGAAAAGAAGGGGAGAGATCTAGATTATTGGTGGCATTTGGTTTATGTTGGATTGATATTTTAAACCCTTTAGTGAAAATATGAGGTTGTGAATATGTTTCGAAACATCTTTGACAAAAAAAAAAAATATGTTTCGAAACATAAACAACTGTATTCAAAGTTGTAAAAGTATTCAGATTGTGTTTTAGTGGTTTAATAGCTTGACCCTTACCGATCAAGATAAAAGTTCTATGAGATCCGGGATTAAGGATAAAACGAGTTCTCATTATTCTTTCTTAAACCAATTTTCAACTTAACGTAATAATTCCTTTAAAGTATCTCCAAGTAATTGTTTATATTACAATACAAGTTAAAGAATGGGGATGTTCATGCGCACCTTGTGAATAATATAATGTTACTAGTAGATCAAAAATGAAATATAACAGCTTTTAATAAATGAAAGTATACTTAATAAATCAAAAATCAAAATTTTGAAATTATAATTAATTGTTCGTAGATCATGATATATTGTTTAATAGTTTGTAGCTTTGTGCTATTATCATTAATGTGATCACCATCCGGATTCAAACTCACATAATAAATATTTAACCATTACGCTATCAACAGTCAACCACTCAAAAATGTCTCATCCGTAATAACTTTTAACCGATATATCAATCATATAAATTACTCAGTAACATTTAAAATGCATCCATTGCGTCTACAACAACCGAATTTTATGTGGACTTGTAGATTCGAACCTAGATGACGGAAACACCGTCATAAATGATATAACCATTACACTTTAAATAATGTATAGAAAAAATAATAATTGAAATTCATTGAAATTGTTGAAAAAATGTATTTATATATTTAAACAAATAATAATGCAACAATAAATGATAAACAAAGAAAATAATAAAACAAGAATTAATGATTGAGAAAGACATCAAAACCCCCCACTAATCATATACATAGGTAAAAGAAACAAAATCAAGATGAGTATTTAGGGTTAAACAAAACACAAATCATCGAATAAAAACAAGGTTATGATGTTGTTGTATAACGGCATAATCAAGACACAAGCCACCACCAGAAGGTGCCGCAACAACAACAACAACAACAACACCTACCTCGCATAAGTTACAGCAAAATACAACAGCCTGTCTTTAAAAAAACTTTCCTTTTTAATAATAAATCTTTCTTTAAATACCATCTCTCTTCTTCTTCCTCTGCTTCTCTTCATCTTCTAAGAAACAAAGACGACTTCACATTTTACCATTATTTCCTCTGCTCTGCTCAGGTCAGCTTTTCCCTCTTCCCTCTCTCCTCTCTCTTCTACTTTATGGTACAGTCCAATTACAATGCCATTGAACTACTAGTTCCATGAATGTATCTTCTTTACACTTGTTGTCTTAAGTTTCTGTTTTTGTCTGATCCAGATCTAGTTTCTTCTTGGGTCTTGTGAACTTTAGCTTCTTACTCTCTTTATGTTTGTTGTTGTGTCGGTTTGTTTTTCTTTTTCCAGTAATGTTGAAGAAACTAGTTCAAGATCTGACTTAACTAACTAACACTGGTTTAGTTTGTTAGCTATAGAATCTTTGATCCTGTTAAAGAACTCAAAGATCATTTGTTGTTGAAAACAGATCCGGATCTGAGATATTGTTCATGGGTTCTTGATAATGATTCGATCTTTGTTCAATTTGAATACTGATTTGGTTTCTTGAAATATAGTGGGAGAGTTCAAGAAACGATGGCAAAGATGCAATTATCAATCTTTATCGCTGTCGTCGCGCTTCTCGTCTGTTCTGCATCTGCTAAAACCGCAAGCCCTCCGGCTCCAGTGCTGCCGCCGACACCAGCTCCAGCACCAGCCCCGGAAAATGTGAATCTCACCGCGCTTTTAAGTGTAGCTGGTCCGTTCCACACATTCCTTGACTACCTTCTCTCAACTGGAGTCATTGAGACATTCCAAAACCAAGCTAATAACACTGAGGAAGGTATCACAATCTTTGTCCCCAAGGATGATGCTTTCAAGGCTCAGAAGAATCCTCCTTTGTCAAATCTGACAAAGGATCAGCTCAAGCAGCTTGTTCTCTTCCATGCTCTTCCTCATTACTATTCGCTTTCGGAATTCAAGAACTTGAGCCAATCTGGTCCAGTGAGTACCTTTGCTGGTGGTCAATACTCCTTGAAATTCACAGATGTTTCTGGCACGGTTCGAATTGATTCTCTATGGACCAGGACTAAAGTCAGCAGCAGTGTTTTCTCCACTGACCCTGTTGCAGTTTACCAAGTAAACCGCGTGCTTCTACCCGAAGCAATCTTTGGTACTGATGTCCCTCCAATGCCAGCTCCAGCTCCTGCTCCTGTCGTTAGTGCTCCTTCCGATTCTCCTTCTGCTGATTCTGATGGAGCCAATTCTACTTCACCAAAGTCCTCACACAAGAACTCAGGACAGAAGCTGCCACTTGCTCCAATCGCCATGGTTCTTTCCGGTTTGGTGGCATTGTTCTTGTGATCAAATGGTTTAGCAGATTGAGTATGTTCTAAGTTACAATGTGAAAGATTGTATTACATCATTCCAATTATCTTTTGATTTTTGAAACCCATTTTTTATTATACATTTTTATCATTATTATTGTTGTCATTACCATTGTTGTGAATTGAGATTGTTCCTCCATTTTGCTTTTCTTCAGTTGATTTTGCTTCATTTGCAAGTTAAGATGATAACAAGAGGGTTATTAAAGTTCATTCTCTTTGATATAATTTTAATACAAGTCACTAAATTATAATGTCATATATTGGAATAATTAAGAAAATATATGGATTACATAAATGCGTTATATGCAGCAGTTGCCTCACTAATCTAATCACTCAATTACAATTTTCTAATTTCTAAGCTAATTTTTTTAGGCGGAAATATTATTCTCCTCCACCGCAATACTTTTTTCGGGCTCGGAATAATAGGTTTTTTCCGGCCCAGTCCAATCCGTCTAAACCTCTGTCTTTGATGAACCTTAACTCGTTTTGAGCCCGCCAAATTTTTGAAGAATAAGTAAAGTGTTTTTGTAATCTCTTAAAAATCATTTTTGAGATTATAAAAAGTAAACTTAAAAAATACTTTTACTATAAGTTTGATAAAAATAAAAAACAGAACTTTATATTTACTGAGATTGTTATTATTATGTAGATTATCATTCCCACTCTTGTGAATTGAGATAGTTCCTCCATTTAGTTGATTTTGGTTCATATCTGATCTAATGTAATCCATCTTATAAGAGGTTTAATTTCCTCTATAATTTAATCTCCAAATCACTAAATTATGACCTCACATTTTAGGATAATTAAAAAATATATATATATATGGTCCATAAAGAAGATAACCTTTGAATCTACATAGAAACAGAGGAACACAATGGCCTCTCTCTTCACACCATCACCAACCACCAGGAGTGGTGGCGGAGACGCCGTCTATGTAGCGGCGGTGCCGCTTAAAGCCGCGGCCGGTCCTCCACAACGTATTATGTCAATGGCTTACTCACTTAATCTCTCGTATATACAACATTTCATGGTGCTCATCAAACCTTCTTCTCTAACTCATCAAGAGGTTTCTCTGTCTTTATAACTTCACTTAAAATGCCTTAATGAGTTATATTCTTGAAACTAATCCATTTTGTGGAATCTTTAGGTCATTGTGTTTGATTTTCAGCCACGTAATCCAGAAAGTATAGAAGCAGCAATCTCAGTTTTGTCAGGAAATTTGATTCCAGGTTCTGATTCCCAGACAATGATATCGAATGTAATCTGTGATTCAGACAATTTTTCTCTGATTTTCAACGAATCTTTTTGATCATGGAGGAGTTATTGTAGATAAACTTAAAAAAAGTGATAAAGTAGGTAGGAATCTTGAAAATGTAGTCAAGATTCTGATCAAAGAAAATAAAACTAAACTTTGTTAGGTTACAGGTGTAGTTTTGCAAAGAAGGTTGAAGAAGGTTCCAAGACAAAGATGTTGGTTGGTTGGATCATCTAAAGGGAATGCTATGGAAATGGCAATTGATTTTAATAACTCATGGGGGACTGATCTTAGAGTTGGAGTTCATGATTGCCGAAACTATACTAATGGTACATGTTACAAGCTTTAATCAAAAAGACTTTGGGATTTTTATTTGTTTCTAAGTTTTTTTTTTTCACAGAACTTGTCCAACATCTTACCGGAGAAATGCAAATCTTGGAGCGACTTCCAAGAAGCTAAATAATGTTACTATCCACCTTAATAATAGATGAAACCAATGTTCACTTGTATACTAAGATTTTGTAATAGTTAGTAGTTGAAACTGTATATTTATTTTAGTATTAGTTTGTAGGTTTTGTCTATCTTTATAATACTCTTCTTGAGTTATTAAAATCTATTCTTTTAACTAACTAATAAAAAGTATTAAGGAAAAAACAAGAAGAGCAAATGAAACACATTAGTGAAATTATCTTACTCCAAACTGGAAAATAATACAAATGAGCTTAAGTGATGGAATTCAAAACATAGAAGTACGTTTAAGGGTGAGCCTTCTGATTTCGGTTCTTTTTTGGTTTTCGGTTTATCAGTTTGATTAAATGTATGTAATTTGTTTGGTTTGCTCGGTTTTCTTTGGTTTCCGGTATTTTTTATTGGTTATATTAAAAAAAAACTATTTAAAAACCATAAGGGATTCGCCGATTCGGTATGATTTGGTTTTTGATTTTTTTTCTCTATGATTTATCAAATATATTAATTAGAAAAACCAAAATGACTATCTTTTCCAATCTGCACCGACCAATAGATTGAAAAAATAGCAAATATTGAAAGACTAACTCATATAGCCAGCACACTCTAGTCTACATACTGTATATAATAAAAATTAACATATACTCTCTCTATTTCAATATATAAAACGTTTTAGCTAAAATACGTAAATTAAGTAATATCTTATTTTTTTAACAGCGTAATATTCATTTTTTAAAAGTTTAACAAATCATGGAAAAATTACATAATATAAATAAGGAATAATTGGGGAACTAGTACATTTTGGAAACTTAATTAGAAAAGTGATACAGTCACTATTCATAATTGGTGAAACCGTGAGAGTGTGAGAGATAGAGAGAGTGTGAGTGTGTGTGAGAGAGAGAGAGTGTGTGAGTGTTTGTCTGAGATAGTTAGTAGTTGAAACTGTATATTTATTTTAGTAGTTAGTAGTTGAAACTGTATATTTATTTTAGTATTAGTTTGTAGGTTTTGTCTATCTTTATAATACTCTTCTTGAGTTATTAAAATCTATTCTATTAACTAACTAATAAAAAAATTTAAGCAAAAAACAAGAAGAGCAAATGAAACACATTATTGAAATTATTATCTTACTCCAAACTGGAAAATAATACAAATGAGCTTAAGTGGTTATATTTAAAAACCACAAGGGATTCGCCGGTTCGGTATGATTTGGTTTTGGATTTTTTTTTCCCTGTGATTTATCAAAAATATTAATTAGAAAAACCAAAATGAATAACTTTTCCAATATGCACCGACCAATAGATTGAAAAAGAGCAAATATTCAAAGACTAACTCATATAGCCACCACACTCTACATATATAATAAAAATTAACATATATAGTAGGCCTGAGATTTACATTCGTTATCCACGGATATCCGTATCCGGTTTTTGATCCGAAAAAACGGATATTCGGCCAAACGGATACGGATAGTAAAATGACGGATATCCCGGATACGGATACGGTTATATTATATACAGTATGGAAACTTTCAGAAATACTACACATTTTTACAAATAATTCTTTTGTGATAAATGATCATATGTATATATGAAAGTGAATCTAAACCTGAATCTATATATCCTAATTTATAATTTATAAAACAAATTCCGGATTACTATTTTTCGGATCAGATAAAATCTCGGATTCAAACCATTAGATAAACCATCACCACTCGAACACGGGACCACCGGACGAGCACTCTTTAGTTCTATCATTCTACGAGTAAAATAACCTTTCAAAACCTAAAATTCATATCCCACTCAGTTTTGTTTCTTGTCAAAACAAAATTCTTTTAAGATAATACCCAAGTAAAATAAGACCCCACCAACTCTGTTAATCATGGGGCCAGTTCCTAAAGCCAAGCCTCAAGTTTCCTCCACTATTTCCCTTTTTTCTTTCCTAAAACCTTTTTGTTGAAAATTAAAACCAAAAATATATATCCATGATCAACACAAGCACTACGACTAGATAACAAATAAACAAAAAGGAATATTTTCCAAATTGGCCACTTGCACTTTTTACCCAATATATACCTCTAAGTAACCTCTCTTCTTCCTCCTCAAAAACTTATTTGCTCTCTCCAAACACCAAAACCAAAAAAATAAAAAGTTTCAAAAGAGGCAAGACTAAAGATGCTAAAGATTTTGTCTATATTAAGGAAACACCTTCAAAATCTTCGAAAAAGCCCGCGTGTGGCAGACGAAAGCGCGTTGCCTTCCACGACGGTTAACGGAGATCACGGGAGTAACGGTGGAATGATGAAGTTTCCGTTATCGATCATGTCATGTTTTGCGGTTCCACGTGTTAGCAGGACAGATGGTGTTTGGGTGTCGGGAGATTATGGAAGAGTCTCGGAGGTTAACCATCTCATGGTTTATGATGGCATGAGATACGCTCTCTTAATGTAATTATATATATCTCGACTTAATTTAGCTAGTAATACACATTTCTTTTGTGTTGATGGCTTTATATTAGGGAATCTAGTGAGATATACAAAAGGCTGTTCACTTTTTTTCTTTTGTGTCCTTGAGGTTTGTGTTTATTAAAGAAGATGTCTTAGCTAGGAATATTTCACTTTTTGATATTTTAACTGTTATGCTAGGTGCTGAGAAACCTACCCACATACATATTTTGTTTACATAACTTGGAGATTCTTGAATTTGATAATGATTGATGAGTTAGATGATTTATGACCACATAATATTCGGGCAATCTCATCCACCAAATAAATGATAGTGATTAATTTTGACAAAGAAACGAATTATATACAATTATACACAACAAACGTTACGATATATCCATTAACAAGAAAAAGAGTTGGGATAAACTACTTTTACTTATGGCTTAGTATATTACGTTATTTAACAGAACTATGTAAATGATAAAAGTTTCACTAATGCTCAGGTTAATATTAAACGATTTAACACTTACGGTTGCCTAATTACTCTTAGAACTTAACATGATATGATATAATAAAATCGATGTAATATGACTGACCGAGATTTATGTCTAGTATTTTGTTATAATACCAAACCAGTGTTGTGTCACAAGACTCACAACCCATATATTAATTCAAAAGCGTGCATATATATGATGTAGACGATTAAAGAATTGATATAACCTTATTTATTAACTATTTAACCTAGAAAGAACTTGGTCCAAATGGAGAATGGAGATATATACAAAGAAATCAGTGAATTAAAATAAATAATAAATGAATGGAGAATGGTCAAATATGAGTTTAGCTAACGCGGAGAGTACCAAGAAGATGTCGACAATGTGGAAATACTCATGTCCACGTTTAGTGCGACACAGCATGAACCGACCTTTTTTTAATAATCATTGCCAATTTAATTTTATACAAAATAATTTTGTGTTATGTCGACTAATAAAATTAGGATTTGGATGTTCTCAGTGCGGTTCACTCTATGAATTATCCCATCATTGCGATTGACGTTTGTTAATTTTTTTCTCTTAAAATGATTGGTGAATTTACAACAGTCTAGAATCTAGATTGTGCTGGATGCTTTGGTGTCCAATTTTCTATTAATTAACCAAGACGTTTTTATTTGCTAATGTTTCATGATTGATTATTAAAGTTAAAACCATTATATTCGTGTAGATTATGATTAGACATGCATAGCACAGGATAATATATGAATACCTCACATCAGGGTCGCTAATGGCGAACTTAATCATGATGAAGAAAATTACAACGTTATCTTTTGTTCAAGGAGTTTTACTACAATAAAACTTTCAATTTTGATAGCCTAAGGAATTGTGTGGAATCAGGTTTCGTGATCTCCATTGCTTTAAACAAGCCCTTCTTGCCAAACAGGTTTGGCGACATTTCTTTTCTTTTTTTTTCACAAAAGAAGAAAGAAAGCGGAATTAAACATAACTCAATAATAGAAATAGAGTTTTGAGCATACAAAAAGGAAAAACAAAAAGTCAGTTCAACATATTCATTGGTTATCAAACAAATCAATTTTTATTGGTCATATTAAACAGAACCCAATTAAAAATTGTTATTCAAAATGTATTCCTCAATTAATAATATAGATGTTATTAGGAAAAGAAAAAAAAAACCACTAAGCTATGTTGCATGGAAACGGAAACGGAAACGCGGAAGCGAAACGTTTCGGAAACGAGAAACGATTTTTTTCTAAAATTAGGGGTTGGAAACGTTTTGGAAACGTATACACATACATATAATATATATATATATATAACATTAACTTAAAACTATATTAAAAATAGTTTAAACAATACAAGTCTAAAACATCTAATATTAAATAGGTTAACTGAAATTCTAAAAGATAAATATTAAAAAGTTCAAATTCAAATATTTAATTTAGACCAACATTTTCATTCTCATTTTCATTAGCTTCATCAAAGATCATATAAAACTGCATCCAAACCTGGTTTGTAAAGAGAAAGATCTTAATACTCAGAGTCTTCCAAAATTAGTTATTTGTATTATAAATCTTAATATTTCTAATTTTTATTTATTAAGTTTCAAAAGTCAACAAAACGGATTTGTCGCGTTTCCATTTTGGAAACGTGAGTTTCCATCGTGTTTCCAAACATAGATTTTTAGGAAACGCGTTTCCGTAATGTTTTTCGTGTTTCCGAAGAGTTTTCGTTTCCGAAACGTTTCGGAAACGGGAAACGGACCTCGGAGAGAGTTTCCATGCAACATAGCCACTAAGAGCTTTTGTATATTTTGATGTTTTGTTATATATAGTAAAATAAAATTAATGCCTCGCTAATTTCCATTAAGAGCTTTTGTATATTGTACCAAAATAAAAACATATCATTTACAAAAGAAAAAAAAAAAGGGAGAAAACCAAAAACCCTTGTGTATCTCATACAAAACCCTAGTATATAAATAACAGAAAAACCCTAGTATGATCGGTAAAGTAGTCTGAAGACTTGGAACGGCTTCACAAGAAAGAAGAAGATGAATAAGAAGAAGAGACAAAAAGTGCCTAAAAATGGCGATTGGTCCAAGCTTTGTCCCGATGTTTTACGGAAGATATTCGAAACCTTAAGTAGCCCTGTTGATTCCCACCGCGCAAAAATCGTTTGCTCGGATTGGTATTCCGTTTGGAAAACATGCACAAAGAGGCCTCCATGTCCATGGAGAATAATACACCAAGGTGATTCTCCCACCTTAGGAAAAGGCAACAGAAGACTCGTCGGACTCTTCCAGCACAGAAGCTATTGTATGGCTAGCTCCGGAAACTGGCTTCTGATGGTTGAGCTTCGTCTGAAATTCTATATTTATAACTTGTTGACGAAGGAAAGGATCGATCTTCCATCGATGGAGTCGCAAATACTTGGCGGGCAAGTAAGGTTCAAACCTGAAAGAGATTATTTCCATGGATACTTGGTCGGGCCTTCTCGTAGGGATAAAGTGCCGTATGATTATGAAGCCGTTGAATGGGAGAAATCGTTAGCTGTTCTGTGGGTAAACGAGACAACAGGTGATTATGTCGTTGCTTGGACTTTTATGCAGCGTTACTTGTTCTCATACAAGAAAGGAGATGGTTTTTGGCGAGATTTGAATTCTAATGGAAAAAGTTTGGTTTTGTTTGATATGGCTTGTGAGAACAGTATGCTTTATCTGTTGACAAATGATCATCGCATCAAGATTTTCTATATCTCTGGAGATTTTTTCACAGGAGAACAAAACCGGTATTTGGGTAGTCCGTTTAACTTCGTTGCGCAACCGTGGGAATATATTTGGAAGAGGAAACTAGCGATTCGGAGATCAGGAGAGGTACTGATAGTCTTAAGCTTGAAACACAAAGTGAAAAAGGAAGAGAAACTTTTGTTTTACATCTTTAAGATGAATCTTGAGAGTTGCAAGTGGGAAAGAGTTTATTCTATTGGAGATGAGATGTTGAGTTTTGGTCGTGGGGTTACAGTACCTCTTGCTCTTAAAGATCTTGGTGATGGAATCAAGAGTGATTCAATCTATTTTGTCGACGAAGATGTTTGGCCAGATCATAAAGATCATGATCACCGTGTTTCAAATTGCGGTGTCTTCGATATTGCCACAAGTAAGATCGAATGGCCTGAGAAGATCTATTGTTTCATTAATAAAACTCACTGGTTTGTTCGGGGAGTTGCTTACTAGGCGTTATTGAATGTAGGAAACTAATATAAGTTTAATCAAATTTCCAGTGTTATTCAATATTTTTTTTCATAGATTCTTTTTCACTTCTAGTGTTATTCAATGGTTTTTGAACTCTATTTATTCTTCTAAATTTGAATGTTGTTCATCAGTTTATTGATATTTTGAATTCTATTATTGTATGGTTTTGATGGTAATGTCATTTGAAAATAATTAATTTATTAGAACGTTCAACAAAAAATGTGAAGAACCCAAGATGTTACATGACCCTTCCAATCTTTAGAGAGGGCTTTTCATTAAAAAACTTATTCACAAGTCTTACATAGTTTAATTTACAAAAGAATGTGAAGCTAAGTAAATAAATTATTAACAGAGATCTTTGTGGTCCTTCAATGTTGATTTTGTGGATGAAGACTTCAACATATGAATGGTTCCTGGCTCATCGACACCAAGCATCCTTTAGCCACAATTAGCAACTCTTTAAAATCCATGATGGTTTTTTTTTGAGACCCATGAATGTAAAAAAGATCTCAAAAATAACAGTTACTTGTGATCTTAGGTTCTTAAAACAAGGTAAAAGTGAACTTCTCTTTCCATACACACATAGGCCATTGGATGTTTGGACTATGACGCCGTTTTCTGTAACAAATGTCTTCAACAAACACTCTACGCCTATTGAGACACTCAATGTTTGGAGTCATGTTTTACTGCTAGCATATAAGAGTTTCTAGATTTTTTTGAGTAGCACCAGTTGGATTGAGAAGAAGACAATGAAAATAGTTAGGCCATTGTGATTTACCTTCAAAGATCAAATAAGTATCATATCTAGTGTTTTAATCTTATGTTTGAGTTCATCTTAATTCTTGTTAGATACTATTGTTTACTATAAAGTAAAAAGATGATCTTATAAATATAATTAAATTTATATTAATTTTCCATAATCATATTCCAAAATCTTTTGGTGTTGTGCAATTCTGTTTTGGTTTTATTGTCGACAATAAGAATCTAAACATTATTACGGTATTTATGCATTTAGAAAAACCAATTCTTAAGATGTATGGAGTTAGGTGTGTTTTCTATAATCTTTTCAGAAAAATGAAAATAAGTACAATAATCATCAAATAACATATTTCTTAAAAATATAAATAGATACTTTCAGTCAATAATCTGACTACATATGACCAACAAAAAATATTAATTAATATTGCACATTAAAAATAGTCAATACAGAATTTAGATTTATGCTATAACTTTCCTAATTGTATAAATGAAAAAGTATTTGTCTCAATAATAAACTAAAAACTGAACTACTATAAATTGTTACATATTATTACAAACACAAATATAGAAAAGATAATATTTTAATAACTATCATTAATCATATATAACTTTTCCAAATTATATAGAACACCAAGTGGGTTCAAAATCTAGTTATGTTGGCTAATTTTAGTACTTTGGAATAGCTTGTTATCTATTTGACATTTTACTAATTAAATTCAATTAAAAAATGCTTCTTCTTTTTTTGGTTTTAAAAAAAAACCCTAGTGTATCTTTGTTCTCATTTCATGCCTATATAATTGAAAACCCTAGTGTGATCGGTAAGTAGCCGATAGCGATGGACACAACTAGAAATGGCGATTGGTCCAAGCTTTGTCCCGATCTTTTGCGCAAGATCTTCAAAATCTTGAAGAGCCCTGTTGATTCTCACCGAGCAAAAACCGTTTGCTCAAATTGGTATTCCGTTTGGAAAACATGCTCGAACAAGCCTCGATGTCCATCGTGGATCATACACCAAGGTGATTCTACGACCAAACAAAGCAAAAGAAAAGTCGCCGGAATCTCAAAGACAAGCTATTGTATAGCTAGCTCCGGAAATTGGGTTTTGATGGTTGATCGTCGTCTCAAATTCTATATTCATAACTTGTTGACGAAGGAAAGGATCAATCTTACATCAATGGAGTTGAAGATACGTGGCGATAAAGTAAGCTTCAAAGGAGGAAGCAAAAGTTCAGAGTATGGATATATGGTCGGACCTTCTGGTAAGGATTACGTGTCGTATGACGAGCCAGATTATTATTGGAAAAACTCATTAGCTGTTTTGTGGATAAACGAGACAACAAGAGATTATGTTGTTGCTTGGACATTCAAACAAAAGTACTTGTTCTCACACAAGAAAGGAACTGGTTTTTGGTGTAATATGAATCTCAATGGAAAAGGTTTGGATGTTTTGGATATGGCTTGTGAGAAGAGTAAGCTTTATCTCTTCACAAGTGATTATCACATCAAGAGTTTTTATTTCTATGGAACTAAGTACATTGAATTTGAAAGTGGAAATATGCAACAGATTATATCTTAAGTATGCTGAAAGTAGTAACACTCAAAATCTTCTTCTAACTCTAATACCATTTGCTAGATATGCGGAAAGTGGAACAGACGAACCTATGTTGGGCAGCATCGCACATCGGGACATCCCATGTCTATCGATGATGCAAGAATAAAAATCTCTATCCATTAATTAGTAACAATTAGCAACTCTTTAAAAGTCATGATGGGTTTTCTTTTTAGACCCACGAAGGTGAAAGAGATCTCACATAGAAGTTTGGTTCTTGAAACAAATGCTCAATGCGCATCGTTTCTTCAATTAAGTTTTTTAACAATTTCCCCCTTTTGGGACGCCAAAACACTATTCCTCCTCCAGCAATTCTAAGCTTATGCAACATTTAATGTCAGTTTTTTAAACAGCTTTTTCTCTTTCAATGTCAATTTCAGTAATTATCTAAAACTTACAAGTTTTAAATAATGTATAGAGAGATGTTGCCATCGGTGCCATGGTCCATGTATTTGAATTTGTAGCTTCTGAATGTTATACAAAAAAAAAAAACTATGTACGGTAAGAGATTTTTCTTGTATATTTGATGTTTTGTTATTATGGCCATAAACTAAAATAAAATTAATGGCTCGCTAACTTCAGCTAATAATGTATGTTTCGTTATGGCCCATACATAGTAAAATAAAAAATATCACAATTACAAACAAAAAAAATATGGAAAATCAAAAACCCTAGTGTATCGATCTCTCACGCTTTTATAAAATGGAAAACCCTAGTGTCCTAAAGAACCAAAAAACCTTAGTGTGACCGGTAAAGTAGTCGAAGAAATGGGGAACGGCTTGATGAGAAAGAAGAAGAAGAAGAAGAACAACAAGAAGAAGAGACCAAAAGTGTCTAGAAATCGCGATTGGTCTAAGCTTCCCCCTGATGTTTTGCTCAAGATTTTTGAAACCTTAAAGAGCCCTATTGATTCTCACCGAGCAAAAACCGTTTGCTCGAATTGGTATTCAGTTTGGAAAACATGCACGAACAAGCCTCCATATCCATGGCGAATCATACACCAAGGTGATTCTCCTACCGTAGAAAAACTCACAAGAAAACTCCCCTTACTCTCAAAAACAAGCTATTGTATGGCTAGCTCCGGAAACAATCTCCTGATGGTTGATCGTCGTCTCAAATTCTATATTTTGAACCTTTTGACGGGGAGAAGGATCAATCTTCCATCAATGGAGTCACTAATACGTGGAGGACAAGTAACCTTTAAACCTGAAAGAGAATGGTCCGATGATTCTGGATGCTTCTTCGGGTCTTATCGTAATGATAATGTCTCGTATGAATTTGATTCCGTCGAATGGAAAAACTCGGTAGCTGTTCTATGGATAAACGAGACAACAGGGGATTATGTCGTTGCTTGGACATTCATACAGCATTACTTGTTCTCATACAAGAAAGGAGATTCTTCTTGGTGTAATCTGAATCACAATGGGAAAAAGTTGGTTTTGTTTGATATGGCTTGTGAGAACAATAAGCTTTATCTTTACACAGCTAATCATCACATAAGTATTTTTGATTTCTCTGGAGTTTTTCCCATGGAAAAGAAAACCGAAAACCCGTATTGGAAATATCCGTTTAACGTGGTTGAGGAACCGTGGGAATACGTTTGGAAGAGGAAAATAGCGATTCAGAAATCATCAGGTGAGGTTTTGATCATCTTGAGCCTTAAACAAGTGTTTTGTGAAGAAGAGATACTTTTGTTTTACATCTTTAAGATGAATCTTGAGAGTTGCAAGTGGGAAAGAGTTTATTCTATTGGAGATGAGATGTTGGTTTTTGGTCAAGGTGTTACAATAGCTACTGCTCTTAAAGATCTTGGTGATGGAATCAAGAGTGATTCAATCTATTTTATCGACAAAGACGTTTGGCCTGATCATCAAGATCATGATCACCGTGTTTCGAATTGCGGTGTCTTCGATATTACCACAAGTAAGATCGTATGGCCTAAGAAAATCTATTGTTCTATAAATGAAACCCAGTGGTTTGTTCGTGGAGTTTCTTATTAGGTATTGCTCATTTATGTATATCATAAGACTCTTTTTTTCATTCTTGTTTAGTGTCATTCAACATTCCTAACTGTTTTGATGGTAATATGATTTGAAAATAATCTAATAGAAAGTTGAATGAAAAATGTGAATAACCAAAGATAAATAAATAACAGAGATCTGTGTGGTCCTAATCTTACATGAAAGTTACAGAGCAGTTCTGGTTTCAACTGCAATGTTGATTTTGTTGATGAAGTCATCAACAGGAATGGTTCCAAGCTCTCCTCCAAACCTCGATCTAACGGTAACAGTTCCAGTCTCGACTTCTTTGGGTCCAACAACCGCCATTAACGGGATCTTCTGTGTCTCTGCGTTCCTTATGAGCTTCGGCAATCTCTCCCCATGGCACAACTCAGCCCTCACTCCACAAGCTCTCAGTTTCTTACTCACTTCCTTGCAAAACTCTAACTGCATATCTCCTCATTAAGTCAGAACTTGAATTTCAATAAGAATTTAAACAAAAGACTCGAGAGGCAGCAGAAGTTAACCTGATTGTCTGTGACGGGTAAGACCCGGACTTGAATAGGAGAGAGCCACAATGGGAAATCCCCTGCGTAGTGTTCTATGAGAACCCCGAAAAACCTTTCTAATGATCCCAAAACCGCTCTGTGAATCATTATAGGACGTTTCTTATCTGAGTTTGTGTCTACATAAGTAATGTCAAATCGCTGAGGAAGATTGAAGTCGACCTGCGTGCCAACAAGAACCCCATTAATAGAGAAGTAGCTCAGGATTTATAAGAGCAGATGAAGCTTTCTTACCTGAATAGTTGAGCACTGCCATTTTCTACCCAATGCATCTTCGATCTTAAGGTCGATCTTTGGGCCGTAAAAGGCGCCACCTCCTTCATCAACCTCATAGCTCCATCCCTTATCATCTAAAGCATCCCTAAGGGCAGACGTCGCTTTCTCCCATATATCATCACCTCCAACTGATTTTTCAGGTCTAGTTGATAAGTTAACCTCATATTTGTTGAATCCAAACCTAGACAATATCTCTTCTGTGAGGTCTAGGACACCTCTGATCTCATCTTTGATCTGATCCTCTAAACAAAATATGTGTGCGTCGTCCTGGTAAAACAAAGGTTAGTTAAGTAAATCCTAGTACTTAACTAAATTCAGCTTAACTATTAGATTAAAGACATTTGAGGTAACCTGTGTGAACCCTCTGACACGGAAGAGTCCGTGTAAGCTACCAGACAACTCATATCTGTAAACTGTACCAAGCTCTGCAACTCTTATGGGCAAATCTCGATATGACTGACGTTTTCTTTGGTACAGCAAGATGTGGTAAGGGCAATTCATGGGTCGGAGTTGATAAAGCTCGTCCTCGATCTCCATTTGATCATACATATTCTCTCTGTAGAAGTCCAAGTGACCACTGATTTTCCACAGGTCAGCTTTAGCAACATGAGGGGTATATATCAAATCATAACCATGTTCGACGTGCATCTTCTTCCACGATTCTTCAATTATGTTTCTAACAATTGCACCTTTTGGATGCCAAAACACTAATCCTCCTCCAGCTTCATCCTACAGTTGAAAAGCTTATGCAACGATCTCCCGAAAGTATAATATCATTTCAAAACTGAAAAGAGGCTATACCTGGATAGAAAACAGATCGAGGTCTTGGCCAATGCGTCTATGATCTCGGCGTTTAGCTTCTTCTTTAAAATGAAGATATGCTTTTAGTTGTTCTTCGCTCTCCCAAGCTGTTCCATATATCCTCTGAAGCATTTGCCTCTTTTCATCTCCTCTCCAGTATGCACCAGCAACAGATTCTAGTTCCACTGCTTTCTTGTTTATCTTCCCCGTGGTCTCGACATGAGGACCCGCACAAAGATCCCACCATTCATTACCTAGATGGGCATTCGAACTGGCATAAGATGGAGACAAGCTATTACCAAACTAATACGAACTAATTAGAGACAAGACACTTTAACGGAAGCAAGCAAGAAGCAACAGCGTGTACCGATATGATAAACTGTAATAGGTTCTTCCTTGATACCCTCCAAAATCTCCATCTTATAAGGCTCATTTATCGCCATGATCCTTTTCTGCGCTTCTTCTCTAGAAACTTCCTCTCTTAAAAGTGGTAAATTCCGACTAATAATACGATCCTACCAGATAACGGCCCAAGAAACAATGAATACTATTCTGAATTCCTCCCTCAAATATCAAAAACATTAACCCCTCAAAGACTTATTCAAAAACTCACCATCTCTTTCTTGATCCTCTTGAGGTCTTTATCTGTTAAAGGCTCCATATCAAAATCATAATAGAAACCATTATCAATCCAAGGACCTATCGTCACTTTCGCATCCGGAAAGAGTTTCTGAACTGCCATTGCCATTACATGCGCACACTGAATCCACATAAGCATAAAAACTCAACATTTATACCAAAATTCCAAAACTATCTCATGAAATTGAATCAAAATCCAAACTTGTTCAAAACCATACTTCACTAACAGCATAAAATCACATAACTCTCCTAAATTCCACATAAACAGAAACAGAGCTCTGAATAAAACATCAACCTTTATCCCAAAAACCACATACCAAACATTTTCTCATAAGATTGAAATCAAAATTCAAACTTTTGCAAAACCCAACTTCACTAACAACATTAAAGTTAAGAACTTGAATCAAATTTCATGATTCTCTTAAATCCCATAACAGAAACAGAGCCAAAATAAGTGTACCGTGTGACGAATTTTGAGCAGCTTATCGGATGATTCATTACTAGGAAGTACGACAGTTGATGGCTCTGTCTTCTTAGGCCCGGTGTTGGAGATAGCTGGCTCGGTGGCGACGGCGAAGACGGTGGAGAACCCATGTCGCTGCCTTGGCCAGAATCGGCGAGAGGGAAGGTAAACGAACCGTCTCAGAGAAGAAGTGAAGGAAGAGGGTTTAGAGAGGAAGGAAGAAGAAAAGAGAAGAGAATGAGAAGAAGCCATTACTGCGAGAATTCGCAGAGATTTTTGAGGTTATGGAAGAATCTGTGGTGGAAGTTTCTCTTATGAGTGGATTGAAGTGGAGGAGGAGGACAATATAAAACCACGTTTGCGTTTTGTTTACAATTATAATAAATTGCGTTTTATTCAGTTTTCTAGGATTTTATAGTTACGTTAGGAAAATTCTATTAGAAAGTGTTTCAAATAAATATATGAACATTGGTTCAAAACTTTTTTAAAAGTAAAATAACGATGATTTATTTTCTCCTTTTTTTGGGGGATTTTTCAACGAATGTATCGGTTCACTTCTCTTGTATGCAAAAACATTGTTTGGTGTTTACCTCAGTGGTTAGGACTTAAGAAGTCTATTTACATGAGCTTGGATCATGTATATTAGTAATAATGGTTTCCAGTATCAAAAATTAATCTTGTTAACTAATGAGTAACTACAAAAGAAAACTATTGCAAGTATAGTCTAAGTTTTTTTTTTTTTTTTTTTTTGGTACAAGAGTATAGTCTAAGTTCTTCAGAAGTTCACACAGTCGAGAGAGAAACTCACAAATATCAAATCCGTGGCAATTGCTTTTGTGAGAAAAGACACCCATATCGATTGAGACTTCAACATCACCATCATGTCCTCAAGATGGTGATGATTATAGTTGCAGCATATATGCATGCTCCTTGTTCAGTAATCATAATTTATAAACTCATACATGCTAAAATGATAAGATTTCAAATTTTATCGAGACATAATTAATATTTTTAAACTCATCATTTTGTAATTATTCTAAACATAAAAAAATAACAATATAAAATCTAAATTGACAAACATTTAATTAATTTGATTTAACCGCTCATGGCGCTCATTTACTATGGTTTTGTTAAAACGATCAGTCAGCAATTCTGCATAAAATCCATATATTAAATTATTGTGTTACCATCATTATCCCAACTTGGGATAATGCAGAATGGTGAATAACGAGTTTGTTAGTTGAAGAGAAAACTAACAATAAACATTGAACAAAATGCTTTATGCAATAGCTTCTCCTGATAGCAGTGAGTCTGATGGGTTGTTCGGTGAATGAATGTGCGTAATGACTTCATCCAATAACTTCAAGAGCTCTGCTCGACGGAGATTAGTCACCGTATACTCGAGTGTAACCTGTCGATTTAAAGAAACTCAGTCCAGTTTAGGCCAAAAGGAACATCCTTTGTTGGAGTGTACGTATGAAGTAGTAAACTACTTTACCTCTTTGAATATACCACTGTAAGAAGAGTCCTCGAAACCCTACAACAAACAACAAAGTGTGTTCAGCCACTTTTCTTGGTCAATTCGGGCATGGAGTACATACATTTGAGATAAGAGATTGAGTTAGTTTACCAGTTTGCGGAATAAGCTGAGGGAAGCTGTGTTTGATTCCCCAATTTTGGCTGTAAACTTGTGAATCTCCAAGTTCTTGACACCATAAGCCATCATCATCAACACAGATTCCTTTCCTAGTCCTTTACCACGGCTACTCTACCAATGGTTGTAAGAATCATGTGCATCAGAAGTAACATCAGCTAAAGTGTATTCTCGGTGTATAGGACTCGAATTGGGAAGAAGAAAGTTACCTTCTGGGCTCAGCTATCATTATTTCAACCTCTGCAACCTTTGGATCATCAACATCATTCATGTATATATTCACATCCCCAGTCATGGCTGCACAAAAGCTTCGGTTACTTATTTACAATGACTCAACGTGAAATCAATATCCACAGAAAAAATAAAACACAACACAACATCCAAGCTCATCTAAAATAGACTTCTTTTTAACCAACAAAAAGAAGAAGGAAGAACTCATAAAGCCAACCTAGTCACCAATAATCTAAACCACTAACAAAGGAGCAGTCTTGTAGATATGTTCTCATTTCCAGTGACTATACAGACTTCGCGGTAAGAACAATTCCACTATATGATTAACTAAAGGGAGAGAGTGTTGCATTGTCACAGTGGCTAGATAGAAGATTCCATACAGATGCATGCTAAAGTAATCTCCTTTATACATCAATTCCTCAAGTGAAGTAACTCAGGTAACAAACCTTCTACATGCGGTTCGCCATGAACCAAGTCTCCTTCTATGAAATCCTTGTCCAACACAATGAAAGTCCGCTCTGAAGCCAACAACAAGAGCATTAGCAATCCTACATTTGAAACAGACCTAATCAAGTACTTAGAGTCTTGAATCTACTCCACTCATTGCCAATTGGTTAAGAAACGAAATCAAAGAACCTCACAAGACACCAAAATATTGGAGGATTGATGGTAACAAGTTCACCAAACACGACTAAAGATCAACAAACTCAATACAGAGTAGTCTAAGGTAGTCTAAAAGAAAACACTAAACCCTAATTGAGTAAAAACGCCATTATTGATGAAATCAAGATAAAGAAGATGGAAGATTGAAGAGATAACTAAAAAGGGTTTAGAGTTTTTTATACTATTGGGATCTTGAGTCCAAGAAAGCTGCATCTCATACTCTTGCTCAAGACTCAACGGCTCAGATCCCGTAGCTTCAAGAAGCGCCGAGTCTTGCATCCATTGATGGTACTTTGGAACATGTTCCGCCATGTACGGAACCAAAACCACTCTCTTCCCTTCTAAAGTCACCTTCATCGCCATTGTTGTCACCAGTCTTCTTCTGCTTCTCTTCCTCTTCAGAAGAAAATAATCAGAAATCAGCAAAACGTCGTCGTTTAATGTTATCCTAGCTGGCATTTTTGTCCACGTCAGATTTTATCATAATTAATATCATAAAAAGATGTCTAAATATTACACAACCAACCAAACTGTGTTGTGGTGAGTGGTGAGTGATGAGTTTCACTTAGCTTCAAAGCAAAGACTTCCATGAAAAATCATAATTTCAACTTTTATATAAAATATAAAAAAGGCGTCATTGATTTTCTGGTAACAATCATATTTCTTAAGTTTCACTACACATATAAAAAGTCTTGACTCTATTAACAGAAAAAAAACAGAGATGATCAAACAATGGCGACTTTGATTCTAACATTCTTGCTTCTTCTAGCAACAAAGCTTCCCAGCTCTCTCGCGGGGCACTGCACCACCACGACGGCGACGAAAAGTTTCGAGAAATGCATCTCTCTTCCGACACAACAAGCGTCAATCGCATGGACATACCATCCACACAACGGTACTCTCGACCTTTGTTTCTTTGGAACTTTCATCTCACCTTCCGGGTGGGTTGGATGGGGGATTAACCCGGATTCTCCGGCGCAGATGACTGGTTCTCGTGTCCTCATCGCCTTTCCGGATCCGAATTCTGGTCAGCTTATTCTACTTCCTTACGTTCTTGACTCTTCAGTCAAGCTTCAGAAAGGTCCTCTGCTTTCCCGTCCGCTTGACCTTGTCCGTCTCTCTTCCTCCTCTGCTTCTCTCTACGGTGGTAAAATGGCCACTATCCGTAATGGTGCTTCCGTTCAGATTTATGCATCCGTTAAGCTCTCGTCGAACAATACCAAGATCCATCATGTCTGGAACAGAGGTCTTTATGTCCAAGGTTACTCCCCCACTATTCATCCCACTACTTCCATCGATCTCTCCTCCTTCTCCACATTCGATGTCGCTTCAGGTATCCAAATTCTCTCTCAATATCTAACATATGCAAAATAAACCACATCAAGTTTGATCTTATACTGTTTCTTTCTACAGGATTTGCAACCGTTAATCGAAACAGCGGTTCCAGAGCTTTAAAAGTGACTCACGGAGTAATCAACGCGGTGGCATGGGGTTTTCTCCTCCCGGCAGGAGCAGTAACAGCTCGATACCTCCGCCAAATGCAATCAATAGGACCCACTTGGTTCTACATTCACGCAGCCATACAGCTAACCGGTTTCCTCCTAGGAACCATTGGCTTCTCCATTGGAATCGTGCTCGGCCATAATTCCCCTGGAGTGAGCTACGGGTTACATCGGAGCCTGGGGATAGCTACGTTCACAGCAGCGGCGCTGCAAACACTGGCTTTGCTGTTCAGACCAAAGACGACCAATAAGTTCCGGAGGTACTGGAAGTCTTACCATCATTTTGTCGGGTATGCGTGTGTGGTGATGGGTGTGGTGAATGTGTTCCAAGGGTTTGAGGTTTTAAGGGAAGGAAGGTCATATGCGAAGCTTGGTTACTGTCTATGTCTGTCGACGCTGGTTGGTGTCTGTGTGGCCATGGAAGTTAACTCGTGGGTTGTGTTTTGTCGAAAGGCTAAAGAGGAGAAGATGAAGAGAGATGGTTTGACCGGTGACGATAGATGCAGTGGGAGTCATAGTTAGGTCTTGGGTCCTAATTATAAGACAAAGAGAAAGAGACACAATATCATTTATATATCTTTGCTTAGTACCCAAAAAAAGATCTCATGTACAATGTACATTGTTGAGGAGTTTTCATCACTGTTTATAGAAGATTTAGATCTTGATTTTGTAATATTTCATGATTTTCGTTTTATCATAATTATGCAGTGGGATCGGGTTCAAAGTTGACTTACCTAAAGCTTTGGATCCATCAGTTGCATCATACGGAGAGCTCAGATGAAGGAGATATCAGCCAATTATTACACAGAACCATCCACTTTGATATGGCAATTCGAAAGATATTACATGCACACCTTCAAGACAACAAAAAAAAATATCAAGAAAATCAGCATAAATATTGTTCGAATTTGAGAAAGATCATCTGTATTCAGAACAAGCACTCAAAAACATGTACTAATGCAGAATATGAATGTTACCTACTACTTACCTTAAAGATTGATAAATTCATGAAAACTCAAGAAACTCCAAGCCCATTAGTGTCACAATAGAGAGACTGATTTCAGATATATGGCAGCCATAAAACTAAACACGAATGCAACATTCTGAAAATGACCTATCACCTATGTACCTAGCCATCAAATTTCGTGAGTTAAACCCAACAGATATGCAAATGCAACATTTCAGTCTGCATATGCTGAAAGAATTCTTCACGAGTTGCAACGAGGTCTTTGCAAGCCAGAAAACAAAACTACAACATGAAAAATCATTCTAATTTCTTGAAAGGCGAGGTCTTAGAATACATACAGTTCAAGCTTCGAAGATAAGATTAGAACATACTTTATGAGTAGCTCTGTTCTATACATCAAGAGGATGGTTTGAATGCTCACCTTATGCTTAAGGAAACTAACTGGAGCGTCATTTGGTCATCAATTCCAAGAAATAGCTCTGAGAAGCCCTCCATGTTCTATGTATTTGCAGCTCCCACAAGAAGTCATCTACAAATCAACCACAACTAGTTTCTTTTGTCGTTTTCAGCTGGATAGAGATATGGTCGATGATCTATAATAAATTCTTCAAGGCTTTATCAAGGATTTCGAGAAACCTTCATCAATGAAGCTTGAGCAACAAATATTCTGTTCGAGCTGTCCAGTTATTTCTCCTCACCATCGCCACACTATCAGGCGAGAATACTGAGGTATTAACAGAACGTATAAGCAACCTGTTCTGTTGTTTCTCAGATTGAAATTATTATATTTGGCTAACTCCCAAGTAACCATCATATCCATTATCTTTCATCATCTTTCTGACTCTGACTACGTCGTCCCACATTGCTTCTGTTGCATATAGGTTTGACATCAATACATATAGCCCTCCATTCTTGTAATCCAACATAAACATTTTCTTAGCTATATATTCCCCAACCTCCATCTCTCTGTGCACAATGCATGCGCTAAGCAGAGCACCCCAAACTGCAGAATCCGGCTTTATATCCATCTTCCAAATTAAATACAATGCCTCAGTAAACAAACATGCTCTTCCCAACAAACCAACCATAAGTGCATAATGCTGTAAACTTGGCGATATTCCAAACTCTTTGATCATTGCTCTGAAACATATTTTTCCTTCATCGACAAAACCTCCATGGGTACATGCAGACAGAACCCCCAAAAACGTGATCTTGTCAGGTTTCAACCCCTTCTCTCGCATTTCCAAGTAACAAGAAAGAGCTCGATTTTGTAACCCCGATAAGCTGTATCCTGATATCATTGAGTTCCATGTTGCTGTACACGGAGCTTTTATACTCTTGAATACACTTTCCGCTTGTACTTCGTTTCCACATTTGGCATACATATCAATCAGAGCAGTGCAAACAAAGTTCTCATTTTCAAAATTGTTCCTAAGAGTATAACCATGAAGTTCCTTCCCCAAATTCAAGCAACAGAGCTGGGAGCAGCCAGCAAGCAAACTTGCTATCGTAATGGCATCCGGCATAAGTCCACCACTTAACTTCATCTGATGGAAGACCTCAAAGGCTGTGCTTGCCCTTCCAGACTGTACACACCCGGATATCACTGAGTTCCAGCTAATTAGAGGAGTCTCCTGCAATTGCTGAAATAAAAACAGGACAGTCTCCACATCATCAAACTTAGAGTACATCGTTATTAGTCCATTCACAACCAGCGTTTTTCTGCACAATCCGCTTTTGATCGCATAACCATGTAACGACATTCCTATATCGATATGGGAAGAGTTTTTACATCCATGGAGAATTCCAACCAAAGCTACAGCATCAATTTTCATACAAAGCTGACGCATTTTAGAAAAATACACAACCGCTATATCCATATCTCCTTTCTCGGCATAGCTTGAAACAATCGAAGTTAAGCCAACAATACTATCTTGTTTAGCAGACGCATAAAGACGCTCTGCTGAATCCAAATACCCACACCTTGAATATGCACAAACCAAAGACGTAACCACAGAAATATCATTCACCATTCCACTTTTAACAACAAGACAATGTAGTGGCTCGTGACTAACATGAGCCGAAATAAGATTGATGATAGTGACCGGACTAATTTCAACGCTCTTCTCAAACATATTCTTAAAAACAGTCATGGCCTCTTCCATGAGACCACTCTGGCTATACGCACCAATCATTGTATTCCAAGAAACTGTGCTTTTGTCTTTCATTTCTCTAAACAAGACTTCCGCTGAATCCAACTCTGTACACTTTGAGTAAAACGAAATCAAAGCATTCTTCACCTGAGAATCCATTTCAAGGCCAGACTTTGTAGCAACACCATGAACAGACCTCCCTTGGGAAACAAATCCACATTTTCCACAAAAAGGTAACAAATTTACAAGTGTAGTAGCAGAAGGAGAAAACCCTTGCTGAAGCATTACAATAAAAAGCTTCCACGCATCAGATTCATAACCATTTCGTGAATACCCACAAATCAATGCATTCCAAACAACGGTATCTCTCTCAGGCATTTCATCGAACAACATTTGTGCAGTAGTTACACAACCCTTCTTCAAGTAGAGATCAAGAAGAGATGTTTTAACGTACACGAACCGATCAAGACCTGATTTTGTGAGATGGGTTTGGACTTGTTCGACTTGTAACTTGAAGGAATTGAGAGAGTTAGTAGTGGCTTGGAGAAAGATAGACATAGTGAAATGATTTGGTATGAGAGAGGAACGGAGTAAGTCACGGAAGATAGTGATTGGAGAAGAAGAAGAGATTTCACCATGTATACAAGATTTTAGTAGAGAATGGAAGTAAGAAAGGTCTCTATTGAGAGTTATGGGTTTGGTAATGCGCATTCTCTCTGTTCTGTCTCCTCTATCTTTATTTCGTTGTGTCCGAGTTATTTGGACTTGTCGCAATCACATCTATCATTCCTCATATTCAATTACTCGATTAGCTGCCTAACCCTCACAGTCACCAATTATCTTCTCCTCTCCTCATGCCGCCATATTTTCTTTCTTTCTACAAATCTCTGTTTTTCAAATCCAAAACCATTTAACTATGCATAAATCATTTGATCAAATTTGAATGATTAGATTGTATATATCATAATAAAACAAAAATGCTAACCAAACTTTTTCTCATTATAAGAAACCAATGAAATAAACATTCAAAACATTTGTATTACCAAACCTACTGACATGTTTATGACTTGGCTCACATTTTGCTCCTCACCGGATTGCTGCAAAATGAGAGGAGAAAGACAAAATCCAAAATCAAAATTCAATCAGAATTACTCATTCAGAATACAAACATATTTCGAAATTGTTTTAAAATTCAATCACTAAACTAGAAAAATATATGTTAATCGTCCCAAAATACCATTTATGTTCTAAGGATTCCACCGTCATTGCATAGTAAATTGTGATGAATATTTACAAAATTAGAATGGTTTGAGATGTGTTGATAATAAACAATTGTGTTGTTTATATAGGAAATTGTGATTAGTCAACATAGTTTTAGGTTTTGCAAAATATAATTTTTGAGAATCTTTACATCCTATATTATTAAGCTTGTTGAAGACTCATTGCCATTTCAAGGACAATCTAATTATTTTTTTTAATAAATTAATTGAATTGTTTATTTATTTATTTTTAGTCTTCTTTTTGTAAGATGTTTTTTCGAAATATCAAACTAAATTCAACTTGTAAATATTTATGGAAACAAAACGTATTAATATATGTCTATTATTATTACAGAAATAAATAATATTGCATTTGTGAATTTTAATCATTAATTCGGATTATTAATGGAATTATTTTCGAAAACAGAAAACCAAATATTTTGTCCATAGACTGATTTCATCTTTTGATAAATTTTCTATTTTTGGCCAAAATTTAGATTGATATCTTAATGATTTTTTTCAAATCAAATTTCCGTTTTAATTTAGTTTAGAGTGAATTTGGGCAGAGACAAAAATGGGACATCAAATTAGCTAAACGACAATAGTGGAATTCGTCGGAGACAAGAAGAAAATAAATTAGATGTATGGGTCTCGAGTTCTAAGTAATAACGAAAATGCCACAACTTTATTTGTGCATGCGCGTGGTGGAGATGTTTTTGGCTTTTAAGACATTCGAAAGAATAAACTGACATGTAATAAATGTTCACATGTTGACAGAAACAACAAGGTGACATTTATTTGAGCTTTATGAATTTTGAATCCGTAACGGAAGCAGTTTTAGACGGGAATCGAAAAATGTAAACAGTTAACATAGTTGCATGGACACCCAATAAATATTATATATGATTTTGACATTTTTATACATATAAACACATACATAGAGCGTTAGAAATAATTATAGTGTTAAATAATTCGGTCTATGTATACATGTTAATATATACATATATATATATAGTTATTAACATTTGTGTACATGTAAACACGTACATGAAGCATTATTAATATTTATATACATGTAAACACATATATAGAGCGTTATTAACATTTGTATATTTATATGTACGCTACAATGCATATACTACAATCATCGAATCGAAACTGTCGAACAAAGGAAGTGAGCAGTGTCTGGCTTAGGATAAACGCTGGCGGCACACGAAGGAGACAACATTCAAAATATATACATAGATCTATAAAGTTTTTTGGACATCCACGCACAACATATTGATGTCTCAAGTATGAAGCCGGTTCATATCGAAATGGAGAAGCGTGTAGGAGCAAAAAAGGGCAAATAGTGGG